ATTAAACATTCAACATGTTCAACATCTCCCAAGTAATTATTAACACATTAAGATACAACAGAATACATTTAAGCATGTGCATGTATATATATATATGAGCTCAACATCATGAATTGGGAAATTTGGCGCAATTTAAATAAGCATACTCTCATACATCAATTTCAGCATGCTAGCACATAGTAAACATAGGAAATCAACAACTAAATATAATTTGCACATGAACCAACCATATTCAAGATCGTGAAAACCCTCTAGACATCATTAATACCATCATAAATATAATTAACTTTAAATTAAGCATATTTAATACAACATGGAAGTAAAATTCACAATAGAACAAGACTAGAGTGGATTAAGATGCCCCTACCTCAAAAATGAGCAAATCCTAGAAAATGGGTCCTAAATTTCGAAGTTCAAACAAATCTGGAATTGTTGGTATGTATGCGTAGAGCTCGACACAAGCTTCGTTTTGCCTCAAACGGCACCTCAATCCGACAAAAGATGAAGGAGCAATCAACAATGGAAGCTTAAAGTGAAAAAAAAAAAAAAAAAAAAAAAAAAAAAAAAAAAAAAAAGAGCGTCAGTCGGGAGAGAGAGAGAAAGGCAGAGACCAATTTGGTCTCACAATTCACTTAAAAAGTGATGTGGGTCCCACTTCTTTTATAATTTCTTTTTCTCATTTTCTTTTTCATTTAAATCACACACCACACAATTATATACAGACATCACAACTTCCACATCCACCTCTACCACTAATGTCACATCTACTGCCATCGCCATTGACTTCCATCACCACCACTATCGCCACATCCACCTGTACTGCCATTGACTTCCATAACCACCACCAATACCACCTCCACCACCACCAACTTGCACCACCACCACCTTCCACCACCGTCATCGCCACCCACCTCTATCGCCATCAACCTCCACCACTGCCACATTGTCTTCCACCACCACCGGCACCTCCATTGCCTTCCACTACTACCACTAACGTCTTCCACCACCACTAACGTCTTCCACTACCACTGCCACCGTCGCTATCTTCTACCATGCACCATCACCTACACCACTGACGTCTTCCACCATTACCACCATCGCCACTGCCACTACCTTCTACCAATACCCTACTACTTTCCGCCGCCACCACCGCCTTCCAACACCACACCTACACCACTACCGCTTTCCGATCCACATCCACCACCATCAACCATTGTCACAATTTCTTAATATTATTTTGTCAATTAAAATTATTTGTCACTAGTAGGGGTATTTTGAAAATTCAATTTAAAATTCATTATTTTCTAAATTTTACATTATTTCATTCCTATAGATTTCATATTTGTAACCAAACAAAAGAATCCATTCCATTTTCATTCTCATTCCATTTTCATTCTCATTCCATTCTTACTTGTATTCTATTCCAGCACACCAAACGTAGCATTAGGGTTTAATTGTAAGAAAAAAAAATATAAGAAATGCCAACTTTTTTTATGAAAGAATAATATTGCACATAGTCAAATTATGTGGAAGAGAACTATGGGATTGATGCATATAAATATCAACTAGTTTAGCTTGTAAGACACAGTATTTAATCTTTAATCCTCTTTTCGGCTTGTCTATTAACTCCAATTATCACCCGATGGTCTTTTTGACTGTCTTTGAGTAAAATTGTAATTTAATTTTTATTTTTTATTTTTTGTCCAACACTATTCAAATTTGGGAAGTTAATTAGGTGGTTGTGGCTATATCCATAATATGAACCTTTTCCTGGTTTAGTCTGCTTTTCTTTTGGCAAACTTGCAGGTTTTTTAATATCTTTAGTCAATGAAGAACAGTTTGCAAGTTTTATACTATATATATATATATATATATATATATATATATATATGATATCGCTGTAGTTCTCTCTTGTCTAATTTAGTTACGTACATTTACTTTTGGGCAATAATTTTATACTCTCGACTTTAATTAAGACTAGTTAGTTTAGAGTGTGATAGGGTTATTTAAGTTTCAAGTCCTTATTGTCTAGGCAATAAATAGCTCGCAAGAGAGCCAAACCTGCTCTCTCTACGAAGTAAAAAAATTCTACAATCGTCTCTAAATATGTTTGGACGTTACTGGCTTGGGCATTCCAACACTAAAAATCTATTTGGATTGATTAATGGAATTAATTCCACGTATGGCAATGACACCATGTATTAATTGAATATCTAATTCTCATGTTTAAACTTGTTCATTCATTGTAATGAAAACGGTGTTAAAAGAAGTAACAAACACTGATATGTAATTGTTTTTTTAATCTCAGAATTCTGTTTTTAATTATAACATGGAATCATGGTAAAATCTGACTCTTTTTTTTTCTTTTCTTTTTTTTTTTTTCCTTTTTTTTTCACATTGTGCAAGGATTTAAATCCGTGCATTTTTTTTGTTTAACAAGAATGATGGTGAACGATAAATCCACAAGAGTGTTCAGTGTATAAGGAAATTCTTGAGACGAACTACAAATTCAGACATCTTGAGTTGAATTCTCACAAAATTTATAAAATACTACTAAACGTAATTTGCGAGTAATTAATTATACATATACGAAGTTTGAAATCATTCAAGGGTTCAACGTTGCTAAGAATAAGGATGGAATTGATAGTTGTGCGTATGTTAGCCAACTCAATCATTTAAATCGAGACCAATTTCTATGAATACTAGGCAAGCACGTTCGAAGACTGATCTCTATATATGGATATAATTTAATCCATGCAAAGTCACTATTTTGTAGTTTCAGTTCACGCGGTTTCTAACTAGTTCGCCTAACCACGTGAAATACAAACTACTTGGAATAAATTTGTGATCGACGGCCCCAAAATTCATATGCTTTGCACATTCCTCCACATAAATACAAACTACTTGGAATAAATTTGTGATCGTTCTCTCTTCGGTGCAAGAAAGCTGTAATTTGTCCTCCTCATAGTCTTTCTCACTTTTATTCTGTGTAAATGGAGTCCGCTACATGAAAATATTAAACTCTCAATTTATACATGCATGATATATATATATATATATATATATATATATATATATATATGTATATATATATATTACTAATACTACTTCTTGTAATATTTGCTACTATAAAGTCAACATGGAACATGGCGTGGATCACGGTCAGCAGGTGTTTAGAGAGAGGATTGAATGACAGTGCACAAAGACAGTTGGATCAAACTTAATTTGATGTGTGTGTGTGTGTGTGTGTGTGTGTATAATTATATATATGGTGTTAAACAAGATCATTTCTAGCTGTATTGTATGAAGCAGGGACTTCAATTCCTAGCATTAGCGTACAAGTATCTATCATAGTACTACAAACATAAATTCATTTGGTAGAAGAAATAAATTGGCTATTTGATGTTGCTTAATCTTCTTTTAAGTGTCAACAATATACAATCCTTTTATTGACAATTTGATGTTTAATCTTTGTCAAGTGTCTACAATGTCTAATCCATTTATTTAAATTGAGATTGAAACATAATTTTCAACATTTGTTGTCCAACATGCTTAACCTTAGAGCTCATCTTTTTCAAGTGTCAACTAAATTTTTTTTTTTTTTTTTAAAAAAAGAAAAAAAGAAGAAAAAAAGAAAAGAAAAGAAGAATAGCCGAGTGCACGAGGCAAGGTCTGCTCTCATTTTTTATAATCGGTTTATTTTCAAGGAGTACTGAAATAATATTTCCAACATTTGTTGTTGAATATGCATAATTTTGGAGCTGATAAAATGATGTTTCATCTTTTTTAAGTGTGTACCATGGATAATTCATTTATTTAAATTAAGGATGGCACAAAATAATTTCCACCATAAATATGCACAATCTTTGGGCTGATAAACCAAACAGTCCAGTTTACTTTCTCTAATTTCGTGTGAAAGATATTGAGCCCTGACTTGGATGGGTTCGCAGGTATACCCAACCTTTAAAATTGAAAAGTTTGTATCAAAAGACTCTGCACGAATAGCCCCCACTTGCTTTGGAAATCTAGGTTTGGACCGTTTGGTCACCAGGTTTACTTCAGCATGGGCCCAGTATAACTTCTTGGGCCCAGTATATAGTCTCACTAAAAAAGGCTTTTTAGTGCAACGTATTGGACCATAACTTCTTGGGACTAAAAAAGGTTTTAAATCTAACACATTGGGCCATAAAACTTATTGGCCCACATTAGGCGAATACTTCTTGGGCCTAGTATATACTATAGTTTTTTCATACTCTTTTTTGACTTTTAAGCGTAACACATTGGGGCCACTACTTCTTGGGCCCAGTATATAGTTTTGCCTCCACTTAAAAAGGGTTTAAAAGAGTTTTTTAAGTATAACTATTGGCCCCAGTATGTATTTTTTGCCTCCAATTAAAAAGGCTTTAAGCGTACCTCATTGGGGTATAACTTTTTTGGGCACATTATTTAGTTTTTCGTCCCAAGAAATAAAACATTGTTCCACAACCTTTTGGGTCCTGTATATAGTTTTACCTCCGCTAAAAAAAAGGCTTGAAGTGTTGTAACACATTGGGCCACTAGAGTTCACCTCCAGTCTCACTACATTCTTGAATAATCGTCATTTTCATATTTAATTAAATGACTATACATTTACCTCCTTTCATGATTTTAAAAATTTGTGCTAGTGTTATAACTTATACTATAAGAGTATGCAGTCCTTAATGAGAAAAATTGAAAAATAAAATAAAATTCTGTACCAAGAGAAAAAGGGGCATTCAATTTAACATTATTTTATTTTATTTTACAGAACCATTTCCACCATATTATTCGAAGGTATGATCCAGAGAAAGTCATCAATCTATTATTGTGCTAAATTTTGTGTGTTGCAATTGTAAAAACGTATGAGAGGTAATACTCACACCGAACACTTACAGTGAATTGCCTAACCGAATAATTTTTAATTAATTATTTATACCAAATACAATAAAGTAGAGGGCTTTACTTCCTTATTTGTTGCATAATTGGCCAATAAATCTAACAATTGACTACAACTATTCGATGCAAGAGTCATTTCCAAAAACTTATACAAGGAGCAATTACTTAGTGGTATTACCAAATCCACCCCTCCCAATACTCTTAATTAATAGAGATTATCTCGAGTTATGACAACTCAATATTGTTTACAATTTCACAATAATTATGAAAAAAAAAAAAAAAAAAAATTGCTGCTAAGAAATTGAAAAATAAATTCTGTTGATTACCATATGCATTTGCTACCTCCCTCCATACTTCACTGACTAGTTGGGTTGTTAACTCTTCTGCAATTTAGTCTAATTTCTCCTTCTTGACCTGTTAAAACACCCACATTACCCAACTTAATCATGGCCTCAGCAAATTTCCTCCTGAACATCTTTGGCCTGTTCACATAATCCGATGCAATCTTCCGAGTAATGTCGGTGAAGGCAAGGTCTTGATCCAACTGAAGCACAGCCTCCTCTTCCAGCAATCCGCTGTAGAAAGCAGTGTCTAGCTTAAATGGTGTACTTGTTTTTGCAGTCATGAACACCTTAGGATCGGCGCTTATATTAGTGTTCTGTTCAACTGGTTTTGGACAACTTTTCCTGAGAAAATCAAGAAAATTCGAGTCCATACTCGGATCAGATAAGCCAGAACCTCTGAAGTTGTATAGCCGCTGCACGAAAAAGCCACAGTGACAGAAGCCAATTGCATGAGCACCTACAAGAGTAAAACAAGAAACACCAACATCAAATTAGTCCTCGAATAACAAATAAGCTTGGTTCAGTTTTCTGAGAACAGTTTTCTAAAAACTCGGTTAAAAAAAGGTCTACAGAACTGTTTTCTGAATGACGAACCAAACAGGTCTAGGAAACCAAACAAAGTCTTTTAACTAGTTATGAAGTTTACCTAGCAAAGTAGTGAGGTCTGTTAAATCAAGATTGATGGTTTGGAAAGCTTTTGAAGCATCAGCAATGGAAAAAGAAGGGCCGGGAATGTGAACATCACTGAAAATGGAAATCGTCCCATCTCGCCGCCCTGTTGGCAGAGCATAAGCTGATCCTCCGGCAAAGGCAACACCGTCCCGGGTTGCCAATGCCAGTATGTCTGCACAAGAAACAATCCCTTTGCATTGCTTCTCCAACTCGGATTTAATCTCGTCGATAACCTCAAATCCTCTCAAAGTTAAATTAGGGGGAGCCTCTTTCTCTGCCACATTCTCATCTGTGCTGTCTATAAGAACAGAAGCATCACAACCCTGCAATGAGACCAATGCCCAAAAATTACGATCTCTAACAAACCGGAAGTTATGAACGTTCACAAATGATCCACAAAGTATAGGCAAAGAAAACTCTAAAAATATACCAAATGGACAATAGCCCAGCTGGTACAAAAGACAGAATTTTGCTGAAAAACAGTGCATTTCATCGGGAATGGGTATTTTTGGGTCAAAATATGCTCGTAGAAACTGCTCCGAAAAATTGTGTCAATCAGTATACCATTTTGGAATTTTGACTGTCCAAATGGACCATACAGGATTTGACAATTAGTTCTACATCAATAAAGGACTTCAAGTAAATTGACACGAGTTTCACATCTAAAATTCTAAACACAAGAACAGAAAGTGGTACTAGCTAAGGCAAGTAATTAAACTAAAAAATTAACACATTTTAACAGTTTCATACTAAAACATGATAGTTACTGTGTGTATGTGTGTGGAAATTATGGACTTACTCTAATGAAACAGTCGTGAAAATGCAATCGAAGAAAGCCAGCAGGTAGCGACGGATCGTTGCTAAAATGCTTCTGTGCTATTCTCTTCACCACCAGTTCTGCTTGAGGGCATGAATTTCTGTAAAAATGCAACTCTAGAGATAGAGCTTTGTTTACTTGCAAAGCCACCACGAGTACTACTAGACAAGCCAAGACCAAACCTGCCATTTGAGAAGCTTCTGCTCTCATCTCAATACAACTACATGATTCCTAGGGTTTTATATCACACATTGGATTCTTTAGAAAGTTGTTTATATGATTCCTAGGTTTTTTATATCTATGTTTATTTCTCCAACTTACACGATCCAGAATTTAGTATTCTACGTGCACATGGGTTGCATGGATCGATCGGCATGAATTGCGTTAAGGGATGTGTGACAATTACAAAACAGTCCTCAATATTTGATCTTTTGTTTCTAGTTTCAAGGTCTCTCATGAAATTTTTAAAATTAACTAAGGGTGGATTTGGAAATGGCTTAAGTCACTAATTCTGTATTAAATATCATAATACAGGTCAACCCACTAGAGCCCTACACCAGATTAAACAACTAAGCTCTGGTCTGAAGAGGCAGGAACTTAGGTCAGTGTAACCAGGAACCAACTTTTTAAAACCATAAAATTATGAAAACTACATGTCTATATATATAGCTGATTCAATTTGTCATTTTAATGTAGATTATTTTACTAATTAGGAACAATCTTGTGCTAATTTGTTGAATCACTAGACTTTGTAAAGCATTTTTTTATATATTTAATTTTAAAATACATATATGATAATATGCTTTAATATTATAAACGGGGCTAGTCCAGTGCATTAAGCTCCAGCTATCTTGTCATGTCGGAGAGAGTCAGATATACGTAATATGGTCTCATATCATAATATGACTAAAGAATCAATGAATCACCCATCCAATACATATATATATATACACGACTTGTGGAGAATTAAATTATTTTCGTTTGCTTATGATCTGCTTTTCCTTTAGATGCCAAAAAAGATTGGAGAACAGGGTTAAAAGGTATGAGTACATTTTTTATAAAGTTTACAGAACCATATATGCATACTTTCCACACACTGTAGGGAACCTATATACCTCTCGTGTACAAATAAAACTAGCATCATATATATTATTTTAAAATTTTCATTAATGTGACAGTTCACAATTTTATATCATACACTATATATCATCTTGATTTTTGAGGCATCAAACACCCATGTGATACACGATAATGTACTCATTTTTGGTGCACTTGCATTGTTTTATCATTAGGCATTAGATGACCTACTCATGAAACAACTACACATGACCTTATTCTTTTCTTTCCCATGCAAAAAACCTATAACTACTCCTACATGTATATATATATAACACCTCCAAAAGTCCCCTGTTTATTGTCAAAACTGTACCCTAAAACTTCTCTGAATTCTCGCCGGAGAATGTACTCCCAACACCAAAACCCGGTCCAATCCACCACCCCTCCCTTAAGGCGGCACCACTCGGCTCGCTACTACGTGCACCGGGTGCAAGAGAGTCTCACCACCAGGGTCGCCAAGCTAGTATGTGCCATCTTTTTAAGCCTTTTTTTAATTATAGGAGTGACCATATTCATATTGTCGCTCAGTTTACGCCCGCACCGACCCAGGTTCCATATCCGGGAGTTTTCGATCCCGGGTTTGGGTCAAGAAAACGGGTTTGAGAATGCCCAGGTTGTTTTTAACGTGACGGTCCGTAACTCGAACCAAAATATTGGGATTTACTACGATGCTACCCAGGCCACGGTTTATTATGAAGATCAGAGTATTGGTGGGACCACATTGCTGTTTCCATTCTATCAGGAGCCGAAGAATACTACAGTGCTCCATGATGTGTTGAGTGGGGCCGCCTTGACCGTGAATAGCGACCGTTGGATGCATTTCTTGGCTGATCGTGCGAAAGGAACGGTGAAGTTTCGTCTTGAGATAACGTCGACCATTCGATTTAAGGTGTCCACTTGGGATAGTAAGCACCATAAGATGCATGCTAATTGTGAAATTGGCGTGGGCCCAGACGGCTTGATCTTACCAATTTATAAAGATCAAAGATGCCCAACTTATTTCAACTGATGTAGCATATATACTAGAGATATCTCCTGTTTTATATATTTCAAATTTTTTATTTATTTTTTTTCGATTCCCATTTTTAATTTTCGATTCCCATTTATTTTATTTTGGATTAGCGGTTCAGTTTTATTGTAAGAATATGTAATTGTTCAAATATATCAATTAATTATGAGAACGTTCTCACTGTAATCTGTCTCCATGAATTATCAAAAGCCCGAAATGATTAGTTTTTATGTTTAGTCTCATTAATTTGGGTCTCCATGGATTTGTACAAAGTAGTGTTACACTGCAGTGTTAATTAAGTAAAGAAACTTGAAAATATGGCGTAAATAAAAAATAAATTACCAACTAGCATCTATGTCTAATGGTATACCATCTTAATCTTCCAAGAGGGAAGGGATTCGAGTCGGGAAATGGACCAAAAGTGTGTGAAGTGCGTGTGTGTTTCTAAATAAAAAAATAAAAAAAATCAAGAATAATGAATTAAAAAAAAAAAAAAAAAAAAACTTTAGCAAGTGTTCATTCCAAGTAAAGCAACGCACCAATCTTTTTCCCACATTAAGCTCCGAGGAAGCAAGTTTATCAAAGTTTTGAATAACTTTTTCATAATAAAGGAGCAAAAAAAAAAAAAAAAAAAAAGGAAGGAGTATGTTCATGCTAAGAAATTGAATTTTTAGATAATTGATACTTTCTAAGTGCCTGTTTAGTTGAACTTTTAGCTTTAAATTAAATCGTTTCCCTATAAAATTGGAAAAAAGAATGACAATGATTCGAAAATCAAATGGTGTTTAGGGATGCAATACCTAGAACACTTTCCGTATAAAAAAAAATACTTCCATAGATGGATATATTCTTTAATTTTTACTGAAGCAAACGCGTTTCAAAAAGTTCAAATGCAAAAGTCATATACAAGAGGCTTTCAACTGTTACTTTCCAGTTTCCACCAAAGACCCAATAGTGTTCCAGAATTTGTATAAATTTGGAAAGAATTCCAGCCGCAATATTTACTGTCAAAACCCGCCCCACGCACTGTATAGATATTGTCTGCTTTACATCGTCTCCATGTTTACGGTTTTCAAAAAGTGTCTACACAGGTAGAAGACGGTCTTCCTTATAAGTGTGAGCAATTTCTCACCCAAGTGATGTGGTACGTCACACTTACTATTGATGTAATTCATGCGTTCCTACTAAATTTTGTAAACCCTACTTGATCAGCCACCTCTCTCGATGTCACTGCTGAGACATCACCGGATCATGCGCACTCACCTCCACCAGTCATTATATTACAGCAAAGGCGCAAAGCATACACAGTAATATTCTCTCTCTATTAATTCTCTGTGTTTTTTTTCCCCTCCTAAAAGAAGCCTTTTAAGTATATTTAAACTAAAAATTACCTCATCATGTCAAATATTTATATGTACCTCCACTATGATCTTGCTTTTTTTCTATAAGTAGGAAGTTGCTTACTGACTGCTAAGGCACATCATATAAATAAAAAACAAGAGCATAATAAAAAACAAGAGCAGACAAAATAGTAGTACCCCAGAAGAAAAGCATAATAAGATTGATATGCTTTACAACTTCCTGCAAAAAGCATAATAAGATTGATATTTACAACTTCCTGCAAAAAGCATCACCTATGATGTTAACTTCCTTCAATCCAAAGATTCCAGCATTTCTCATAAATTCTAACTCGAGCGCAGATTGCCGAACCCTATTTTACTTCAGAAAGACCTATGTGTGCCTTTCAAAACCTCCTCTCCACTTATTCTCAAGAAAAACATGTGTGAATCCAAAAGCTTGACTCAATGGCTTCTCCAAGTTGTGGCTCTATTAGGCCTCATGGCCTTCTTTCTATGGCTTGGCTTGCATCCCAGATCCCCAACCTACACCATTGTGGGATTCTCCGTTCCGGTCTCCAACAATGGCAGTAACACTGCTACGGTTGGCAAAGGCAATGACCGGAATAGAACTCTCACATTCTACCTGGAGATTGAAAATCCCAACAAAGACTCTAGTGTCTACTACGATGACATATTGTTGAAATTTTATTATAATCGAGTTACTGTGGGGAAGAAAGCACTGCCTTCTTTTCGTCAGGGACAAGATAAGACCAGTCAATTTATAGACAGAGTGGATGCCAATGCAATCGTATGGAAAAAACTTCGCAATGCAATAGCAAATAAAACTGCAGAAGTGAAGGTGGATTTAGTAACCAAGTTTCGGTATAAAATGTGGGGTCGTATGAGTAAGCATCACGGGATGAACTTGCAGGGTCGTGTACCCATTGGATCAGACGGAAACATTTCTGGTAAGAAGAAGATTAAGCTAAAACGAGATTCCAAGAAATGAAGATTGAAGGTTACTTGATTATTAGGAACAGCTATAATGTAATTCATTTGTTCCTAATAAACTTTGTAAACCCTACTTGATCACCACATCATGCACACTCGCATCCACCAGTCACTATCTTACAGCATAGTATTATATCTCTGTATTCTTTCTCATTCAACCCCCCCTCTTCTTTTCTTAAAGGAGCGTTTTAAGTATTTTTAATCTTAAAATTACGTTACCATGTCCATTAAATATATTTAGATGCACCTCCACTATGATAATCTTGCTTTTTTTTTTCTCAGATACAAGGTTGCTTAATGCTACGGCAAATCATAAATCATATCGCGCATAACCACAAGGCCTTCAAGCTATGAAACAAAAAAAAAAAGGAAAAAATAAAAGAGAGAACATAGAATGTTAGCACCAAAGAAGAAAAGCATAAGAATGCTATGCTTTATGCTATGCTTTATAACTTCCTGCAAAAGGAATCACTTATCGTGTTAACTTCCTTCAATCCGAAGACTTCACCATTTCTCATACATTCTAACTCAAAACTCTGATTGCCAAAACATATTTTACTTCTACGAGAGCCTTTGGAAACCTCCTCTCCACCTATCCCCAAGAAAAAACATGTGTGAATCCAAAAGCTTCACTCTGTGGCTTCTCCAAGTTGTGGTCCTCCTTGGCCTCCTCGCCTTCTTTCTATGGTTAATGTTGCATCCCAAAGCCCCCACCTACACCATTGTGGGGTTCTCCGTTCCGGTCCCCAACAATGGCAGTAACACTACTACAGCTGGGCAAGGCTATGATCAGAATGGATCTCTCACATTCTACCTTGAGATTAAAAATCCCAACAAGGACTCTAGTGTCTACTATGATGACATATTGTTAACATTTTATTACAATCAAGATACTGTGGGGGAGAGAACATTGCCTTCTTTTCATCAGGATAAAGATAAGACCTCTCAATTTATAGACAAGGTGGATGCCAATGCAAGAGTGTGGAAAACACTTGGCAAAGCAATCGCAAATAAAACTGCAGAAGTGAAGGTGGATTTAGTAACCAAGTTTCGGTATAACATGTGGGGTCGTACAAGTAAGCATCATGGGATGAACTTGCAGGGTCGTGTACCCATTGGATCAGACGGAAAGATTTCTGGTAAGAAGAAGATTAAGCTAAGAAAAGGTTTCAAGAAATTAAGATTGAAGGTTACTTGATTATTAGGAACAGCTAATATATTTATTTTCCAGTGTTCAAATCTATACATAATTACTTTCAATATTCAAATTCTTGTGTCACTGAGAATGTGATAAAATGTAAATCTTTTAGGTTCTGTGTATCATGCTGTTACAGGATTTAAGTATGAATTGTTATATCTACAATTTCAAGTAGTGCACAATCCATGGAAAAAATTGCAAAGACGCTTATGATCAATTAAGAACCATCTAAAGCCCAACAACAAAATCTTTTCCTTCTCTTTTCACATTCCACTAATGAATGCTCAGAGAACAAATACCAAGATGCTTATTTCTACAATTTCATTTGTCATATTGTGTATCTTGGTGCTTGTACAGTTATTTCTTGTGGGCTTCAACTGCATAGATAGATCATATGAATTGAAAATTTTACTGTTTTTATATATATATATATATATCGAGAGACAGAGAGAGAGAGAGAGAGAGAGAGAGAGAGAGAGAGAGAGAGAGGACTAGTCCAGTGCAGGAGACTCCTGCCAAAGGCAGGGTCTTGGGAGGGTCAGATATATGCGACTTGCCTCTGCATACGGAGGTTGTTTCCCACTTCAAACGTGTGACCTCTATGTCACAATAAAACAATTTTACCATTGCACCAAACCCCATCCTCAATTTATGATTGATGCAACTGATTTATGCATAATGCATTAAAGAATACATATATGATATATGGGTATGAATAATGGGTATCATGAGCTTCATAAAAGTGATCCAGCCATTGATGTAGAGTTTTTCAAAATCTTTGTACGTGCTTGAACTAATGCTATTACTTAAGAGGATAGAATTGTAAACTGAATAGTTTTCAGACTCTCAAGTTATTTATTCTTTTTAAAGAGTTTTAATATATTTGGTATTCAAATTTTGGACAGGGTTTTAGATTTGCATATTCGGCACTTAAAACTTCACTATTACAATTTTCAAGACCTTGTTTTCAATTTTATCAAACAGCACCCAAGTATCATTAGACTGGAAGGGTGAAAAATGACACGACGAAAGTGAAGAGGAATTGAAGTAATAAAATGGTACGAAGGGCAGAGATAACATGAGAAAAAGGACACACAAGCACAAAGGTAGGACAAAAAACTAAGCTTAAAGGTCAAAAAACACAACAGAAAGAAAAGAATAGAGAAAAAATAGGTTTAAAAATCATAATTACCTGCCAACTCTACCTTATATCTGGATAATGCTTTACCATACTATATTGAAGATCCTGCAGTAAGCATGTAACAGATATCTCAGGGTCATAGGTTTGAAACTTGCATTTCAGTGCGACTAGTACATTTATGAAACCTGGAATACCTGCCAGATGCCATTCCCTTTGGAAAGGGGAAGAATTATATAACTCTAATGCCCTAAACAAAATATACCCCAACTAGAATTAGTAAGACTTCAGAGTTTAACTTACTAGAATGCATTTTGCTGATAAATAGGTGATGCTCTTGAAGCAGATAGTCTGCATATGCATTAAATTCAGTGAACCAAAAGGATGAAAAACGTCATAGTTGGCTCCTCAATAGATTGATTCCAACAAATTACAGGAGTGAACCACAACTTGAAAGGTATCTTGTTAATTTTACAGTTGAAAAATTTCATAGAACATATGTTACACTAAGATTGGCAAACAAAAAGTGCTTAGTAAGTAGACATATTGTGTAATCTCAATTGCGTCAGACAGATGGAAGAAAGAACCTGGTGTCGTCACTGAACCAGGGCACCAAATGCGGTTGTTTGAATTTCCTAAGCATGTTACTGTGTAATGTTCAACATACACATTAAAATTCCTTTGATAAACTTCTTGCCTACTTGGACCAAACCTAGAACCTCCTGTCTTCGTCAGTCTAAGACTCCAAGGAATTTCTTAGTTCAAACTTCGGCGGTGGGTAGCAACTTGTCTTCGCCATTCATGAATTGGAATCTGCAGAACAGCCCATGAAAAATTATATATGCATAAATTTGATATTAGCATAACACTCAATTAATTTTTGCAAGACAAAATATCATATGAACATTAAAGAACACAACCAAAAAAATCCTTACAGCAGGGAAACCGCCATAGTCCCCAGGCTCGTTGATGTTCTTGGTGACAGAGCTATTAGCTGCTAGGCGGACCTGCAGCCCCAATGTCGTCAACTATGATGGTTATCAAATGCAAACTTTGGCCGATAAAAGTGGTAAAAGATTTATTCACATCTACATCTGAGCTATTCCTATATGATCGTAAGTCCATATGCATTAAAATGAAATGAGATAGTCCAACACTTGGATACATTTAGAGTCAGTTGGTAAACGAAGGAAAATGTTTTATGACTCAATACATCCTATTGACCCTGGTAAGGAAAACATTTAGACTATTTTTTTTTTTTTTTGATAAGTAAAAACATTTAGACTATTTGAAAATTCACTGACCATTGTTTCTAGGTCGCTGAGTCAAAAATAATATAAAAAAATCAAATTGTGGCATAAACCCAGCCTACCAAGATGTTCTAACCAAACAAAAATTGACTGAGCAGGCATAACAGCTTCCAACATTTTCTGATTCAGAAAAAAATAAATAAATAAAATGGAAGGACATTATAATAACAAAACCACATAAACAGTTGCACAATTAAAAAGACCAATGACAATAACCATGGAGTTCTACGCCTAATGTCCGAAGGGTTTGGTTAATTCAATACAGACCAATCATTAATTTTGGAACTCCATGATAATAAATGGACCAAGAACTCTACAAACCTGGTCATGAGCTCATGAGTTTCAGTTGAACTGGAAAACTTAAAGAACCAAAGTCCATCTACAACATACATTTAACACATCGAGGACTTATTTCAGTCAAGTGATTATCAACATTCAACACCTATCTTAGTCCAACAAAAGATTTTTAAGACTGTGTTTGATTCCCAGATTTAGTCAGGGAAAGAAGGGAAAGGAAAAATGAAAATATAAGTAAAGGAAAAAAAGGAAGGAAAGAATAAACAATTTTCCTCAGATTAAAAGGTAAAATAAAATTAAAGGAAATAAGGAAAGACGAGTAACCTAATGTAAAATTAAATACTTTCTTTGTACTTCCTATTTTCCATGATAACTGAACACCCCACCATTAGATTCACAAAGCAAACAAAGGTACTGTTTGATAAAACTAAAAGCTCAATGAAAATTTTAATAGCTGAATTTTAAGCGTTGAAGTTTTAAGTAGTAATTACAAATTGCGCAATTTTTTTTTTTTTTTCTACCCCTTATTTTTTCTGTTTGGTTTTTACGACTGAAGTAACTGTCACTTTAAATAATACCTCATTTAAAGTTCCAGTTATTTTTTATGAGACATCAAAATGCTTAATGAAACACATTTTCTTGGATAAGCACTTAATCCATTCAGAATTAAGTGCTGAATTGTGTTATTAAACAACATCAAAGTGTTGGAACCTAAGTACATTCTTTAAGAATTATATGACAGTTCCAATTGCCATCTCAAACAAATTACGCAACAAAGATCCCTAAGAGATTCAAACTATTTTGTGAAATAACATTAAATAAATTTAAAAAGCTTCACAAAAAACACAAGTTAGGATAAAGCCACAAAGGCAGACATATTCAAGCAATTAAATACCTTTGATACAATGGAGACATGATCACGAACTGCCACCCTTCCACCTAAAGTTACATAGTCACCCATTCTAAAGAGAACAAAACCACGTTTTCAGTCTCAGGAAAATTGAAAGCTTACTAAATCCTAAAACTGGAAGTTAAATCAGATAAAGGTAAATTTGATGAGAAAAAAAGAAGGCATGATATCAACATACGTTACTGAACCTGCAATCCCAACTTGTCCACAAAGCATGCAACTCTTCCCAATCACTACATTGTGACCTATCTGTAAAGTGTGGCACACCGTTAGTCTTAAATCCAAGCACAAGTTAGCCAACAATGTGGTAAAGCCAAAACACACCTGAACTAGATTATCTATCTTCGAATGATCCCCTATTATAGTGTCTCTCCAGCTGCATAAGCAAGAATCTTGTATTGTTAATTTTCAGCAAAGAAACGTTCCAAGTGCTTGTTAATCCAGAAACCACTCATGACAACCATATGAAAAGTATTAAAAAACAATAAAATTAACACCTGCCCCTGTCAATGCATGTATTTGCACCTATCTCCACATGGTTTCCAATTTTTGCTTTCAGGATCTGGAGATGACAGAACAAGGAAAAAATAGGATACTTGAATTGAAATTCCAAAATGAACTACATATATGAAACAGCACCAGTTCTCTCTACTAAATAATTTAGCAACGTAAATATTCTAATAAATGATTAATTTTTGAGCACCAGCTTTGTTCCATGGTGGTAATTAATTATGCCATTACTAGGTTACTTTCAGTTTTTCGAGGAAACCTTTTGTTTTATTGATTATTAAAATTAAAATGTGCATAAAAATACAAAAAAAACTTGCATGGAAGATAGTGTGAATCACTAGAAGTTGAAATTATTATTAGTAGTATTAAAGTGGCCGGTTATATCAATATATATATTTCAGCCCCATGCAGTTGATAAGCTATGCAACAATTTGGATTTTTCAAGTTTATAAGATGAGCTGCTTCAAAGTAAATGTTAAAATCTTAACATGAAAAAGAATATGACGCAATAGAATTGCAATATAACAAAAGTGAGTTGGAAATAAAATTCATTCAAACATCACTAACTTGAGGCTTCTTCACCATGTCCCCACGCTCATCCACGAAGAAACCAAATCCTGTGAAGAAACACTGATTCCAATTTTAGAAGATAACAATGGAACACTTGTGGCAAAATATTTCAGACTCATCCACAAAAACCATCACATAAGTAAAAAATGAAGTTTTGTAGGCTCATTGTGAAATATATAATGTTAATAATAGTATCATCTACAGAGTCTAATTCTTTGTTTAACTCTTACCCACCGGGCCACCACCATGAGAAAAAAGGAAGAGGGGTGAAAAAAGAAGAAGATTTTTTTTGATGCAATCCAAACCTTACCATCTTGACCAATGCAGACTCCATTGTGGACAATGCATGATTCGCCAATTGTGCAATTACTAAGTGCAACATTATACCTGGAAAAAAATATAGCAGTTCAGTCAAAACCCAAAAAGAAAAACATGAAATGTCATTATACATTGTTTAAGTTATACAAACATTTATAATTTGAGCACTACAACCAAGACCGTCATACTTCTATATATATCAGTCCCAATGCAATTTGTATTAATCCACCATAGTTTCCATCTACTTCCAATCCAGGAAACTTGATATTCTATGACAGACAAGCATGTAAAGGCATAAGGAACAGCCTAGCCAAAGAACAACTTCATCCTCAGATCAATATGCGTCAATATTTGTTTTTCATGTGTGCCAGGCCATGTCAGTCTTTGAGTGTTTTACAGTCTACAGCTGTTAGAAAGGCATTAGCGAAGGAAAAAAAAAAAAAAAAAAGAGGAGAATAAGGATATACAGAAGGAAAAATATGGATACAACTCCTAGACCTGTTCCTGAGTGCTTTTAACAACAGATTCCTATTCACGTTTTAGGAATCACGTTCCAAGAATTAGAAAGAATGACCTTTTACTTACAAATGTACAAAGAGTGGTGGGTGAGTTCTTTTCCTTCTTTTATTTTTTGTGTGTGTGAAAGTGAGTGTGCGTGTGCTTGAGACTTGAGAGAGAGAGAGAGTCTCAATGATTTGATTTTAGAATTTAGGTAAATCTTTTATTGCACGAATCCTTAAAAAAAAGAAAAAAAAAATATCACTCATGGAAATCATAAATATTACATACATGGAAGCGCCGACTCTTTCCAAATAAACAAGTTTATACCCTATTTTTGTGGATGGACCAATAGTAACAGCAGGTCCAATAATAGCTCCAGATCCAATATGAACATTTGCACCCACAACAGACTTTGAATGAACTATGGCACCAATTCCTATGAGTGCCGTTGCATCAATACAAGCTGACTTGTGAAAAGTCCCACCTCCATTTTGCCACTGCAGAAAGTCTTTGTGATCCATTTCAGCATCATCCTCTAATCTTCAATCAAAGTATATCAAATACCAGTTAGTGCCAGATCAAAACTATAAAACTTCCTGCTGTAAGTTTTGCTTAAGAAGATGCAGAAACGGTTGAAATGCTGACAAATAAACCCTGAACTCTATATCAACACATTAAATCCAACTTACATGTAACAACACACAAAACAACTACAAAGCCCATGACAGAGAAAGCATTCAAACATTACAAAAACTTCCTAGATGAAACAGTAGTATTTATGTACCTCTTAATACAATAGTGATTTTCTATCAGTATTGATTGAATATAAATGCACAAGTTTTATATCTATTTTGGAATTAATGTTATGGTAGAAATATAAGATAGAAGAAAGAGAAGAGAAATATGTAGGCTTGAATGAGATCACTCATTCATTGCTTTAGTATTTATAGATAAAAAGAGCACATGCTCATATTACAAGAAAGGAAATTAAATCAAATCACAGCATATATATATATATATATATATATATATATATATATATTTTTAAACAGAAATCACAGTATATTCTATAGCATAATCAAATCTATGCTAATATTTTTAAGTCATTCCATAAATCGTGGCTATCATATCTGCTAACTCCCCCTCAAGTTGGTGCGTGGATATCTGGGACGCCCAACTTGGACAATGCATCTTCAAACACTGTCTTGCTAGCACCCTTCTTCAGAATCTACAAGTTGCAAGTACAAATCTGAATAGAGATGATTTTCTCTCAAATGAAGTGTTGATCAATAAATCAAAAATGTATCCTCAAACCATAAATAATCAACAATGTCTCCTCAAACCATAAACAACCAATCATGTCTCATCAGACTGTAAACAACCAACAATGTCTCCTCAGACCATTTCCCTTCATATACATGTTTAAAACATGTATATGGAAGAATCAACAATGTCTCGTCAGACCATTCTCCTTCATACATATGTTTAAACAATGTAAATGAAAGAATCAACAATGTCTCTTCAGACCATAAAAAAGAAACAACTATGTCTCTTCAGACCATTTCTGAATGGGTGGTGCCGAACTCACAACGCACTCATTCAGGTTGGACCACCTTGCATACCCGACACCTCCCAGATGGGAGATGTCACCTTAGACCATTTCCGAATGGGTGGTGCTGAACTCGCAATGCCCTCATTACAGTCGGACCACCGTGGCTCTGATACCAGGTAAAAATATAAGTAGAGGAAAGAGAGGAGAAATTTGTTGAAGGATCAATCACTCATTTATAACTTCAGTATTTATAGATAAAAAGAGCACATACTCATAATACAAGAAAGGAATTTAAATTAAATCTAAATCAAATCACAACATATTATAGAGCATAATCAAATCTCTACTAATATATTAAGTCATTCCATAAATCGTGGCTATCATATCTGCTAACAGTTATATTAAAATTATTTAAATAAAAAGTTAAAAGCAAAAAACTGTTGTATCACACATATAATTTCAGTTTTTAAAAGGCTATTATTATTAAACCTTCTTTTAGGAAATTTCTTATTTACTCATGTTTCTTCTCTCAAAGAAGAAAACTAAGCAAGGATCAGGAATTAAATTTTTGGATCACCATATTCAGCAATTTGGGAAAGAAGGACGATGTGATATATGTGTTCTGAAACACGGATCACTGGGGACTAGAATCTGCAGTAATTTTAAGCTACGCAAATATATAATTTTATGCAACTAGTAGCTAATTCTAGGAAAGGTATCAAACATAGTAACTATACAAGTGGATTCGAGCTAGCATAATTACACCACATACTTTTAGAGATGAAAAGGTCTCATGGCAATGGCCCCAAATGTATGGCTGATTGCTAACAAAGGATGGGCAATTGGACACCAAGACATATTAGATTAGGCTCTCAATGTTTGAGGTCAACTTCTCTGTGCTACTGCCAAGAAATTCGAAGAATAAGGATAATGACTTACCAATTGATTCATACAGGGAAGCATTTCGGATTTATGACAAAAATCAGTAGTTCCTTTTTCATTCTTTTTTTCTCCCTTTGTGTGTGTGTGCGAATTTGCATATAATGTAACTTTATAATTTAATGACATGGGTGGTGTTGACACCTTTTGATATAATTTACTCATGGACAACTGAAATTGTTTGTGATATGTGACGCAGATTCTAATCGCTCCATTACTTACTTGGATAGAATATCATATATTTGTCACTCAAAGATGATATTATAAAACCTCCTGTTAGACTCGAATTCTTTGTTTTTCTTCTTTTATTGCCATTGTAGTGAAAAGTAGACACTATGCTAGCCTTCATAGGCAATCTTCTATATCCATTGTTGATGTATCAGCACTTGTTGGTAAGAAAACTTTGTTATTAAGTTCTATCAACATATTCACTACATAATCTAACACTTAAGAAAGGAAAAGCATTACAACTGACAATCAATTCACTAGCAACACCACCTCTCATTATTCATGTATTGTTACTATTGTATAACAGGGCATATATGTCATACACTTCGCCTGACCACTTCTACGCCTGACCACTTCTAGAAACACCTACAACACTGTATAAACAGTTAAATGAAATGGGTTATGGTCATTGTCATCCTTTCTTTTTCTCCATTTTATTCTATTATATATCTCGTCTCCTCTAATATTGAATGCCTTAAAGTCATTTCAAACTACTCTTTCCTTTCTAATAGGCGCATAAATGGGTTTAATTTGTATGCGTCGATACCACCTTCATCTATTTTCTCTTACTTTGTCACTCATAGGTGCCATTCCTAGAAAATGGGTATGCATCATTATATTCATAAGATGTGTTAAATATTTTTAGAAAATAATAAGGGGCACTTATTTAAGAGGCATTTTAACAAACAATGGCAATGCATATTAAAATATAGTAGTCAAGCGCATGATTTGCAGAATCATAAAAGCTAGTGAGTAATGCAAAAGTTTTGGACTAACCAAAGCCATCCGAGCACGTCGAGAAATGGTAGCGGCCATAACTGTGCAAAGCTCGACATTGTTGTTTGTATGTCCTGTTAGAGATTAGGTTTAAAATAGGGGAGGTAGAGCCATTAGCGGCCAAGCGTCTAACAGGGAGTGCCATACAGTATGAAAAACTGCTGGATTTTGAAATGGGTCAATATGGATTTATGAGGGAAGCTTGAATAGAAAACCCTGGAGGGTTGAATGAGATGACCCCTCTAAACCGTGTAAGATGCATCCCAAATGCCTGCATTTAATATTTGGCTCGTTTAAGTAAATATGTTAGATCAAATCGTTATTTACTACTGTATTTGTTATATTACAATTTATATTTAAAAATACATGTTATTAAATGAATTGATTATAAAATAAACGCATAATAACCTTCAAATGTCAAATTAAAATTTTAGTGCCATAAATATTCACATAAAAATTAGGGTAAATTTGGACAAATCTCTATGGGTTTATTATTTTGACTTCTTATGAATATAAAATATCATTTATACCCTTAATAATATTTTAATAAAAAAATTCTGAGATGCAAAAAGACCACACTACCCCACTAATAACCCTACCCAAATTTATAAACAAAAAAACCCACATCCAAATTTCTGATACCCTATTCTCTTTCCTCCCTCTTTCTGCGTTCTCTCTCTCCTTCACTACTGCCGTGCCCGACCATTTCCTCTACTGCCACCATCTCTTGTCCTCGTACGCTGGAGTATGATCAGCGATGAAGGTGGTGAAGCAACATTAGAGATGTTTAGACATCAAGTCAATGTTGGGTAATTTAGTTAATTTAAGGTTTAAATTTATCAAATGGACCTATTTGCACCAATGTGATATCCTTCGATTCTAAAGTCACGGGTGATCAAATCCGAGCACAAATCCAAAGGATACTAAATAATCAATATGTAAACAAGCTGGAATAAAACTGAATTAAAAATAAAATAATAATGTGCTGAAAGAATTCTAAAACTTTAAATAATAAATTAATATTATCTAAATCTTTCAAATCCGTACAACTAGGGAATCCATCAAATAGACCCCTAATAATTCCAAATGAGCAATACATACGAATACCAAATCCAAAACTAAAATAAGAAAGGAAATCTTATGCAGTCGAAAAAGTGAGTGTCTGTATCTGCATCAACACGATCAGGTCTAAGTCTGGTACTGACGAACACCTGAAAAATAAGAGTGGGTTAGGCCCACATGCAAGTTCCAACCTACTACAATCCATACATAAACCCGATACGCAGATACATCCTAGATACCTCAGCAATATCTAAAAAGTCCGTAAATATAAATATATTCACACTACAGGACTTTCCCTGGACTACAGGCCTGTCTCAACCTGACTAGCAGACCTAGCAGGGCACACATCAAACCATCATAGCCAGTTATGCATCCCAATGCATATACGTTCCTTAACTATCGATCCTGAGACTCAAACTCATATCGTGGTAACATAAATATATATATAAATTCCATCCAAAACCAATAAAGTGCTGCTCAACTGTTCATTGCCATGACACGACATTTACTTAGGATTTAAATGTTTCAATTAAATCCTTATCCTTCCTACTGCAGAAAAATATAGAGCAAACATCTGTTATGTCGCTTAACTGTTTTAGTTGACAGGACATGCATCAATGTAGGATATAACTGTTTTAGTTAATCCATTCCTTACGTATGAAAGGGTAGGACTTAACTTTTTGATCTAATCCATCTCTGATATGCCACCGTCCCATACCGGTGCATATAATGCATATGATCCACAAATGATGCACACTCAAATGAACATCAAGTATATCTAGAAACCAACATAATAGAAATCATATATAGATAAGATCCTATCATGCATCCAGTATATAATTATAATAATAGATCCTCCTTTTAAATTATTAAAATAATAATAAACAATTTAAACCATCCATTTCCATATAATTGACATAACAGAAACTTTAACAGTTCAACAATTAATATTCATAGCATGATATAATGATTATCAGAGTTATAAACTGAGCAACATTATATTAGAATTCCTAACCAATTCTTCCATACTGGTTCATTCGCATTGATAAAACGAAGACTAGCATTTAAAATCTTCTCAATCATTGACGGCATGTAAATTAATCTTTAAATCCCATTTAAAATCTTCTCAATCATTGACGGCATGTAAATTAATCTTTAAATCCCATGACGTCCATTTAATCCCCAATTATAAAACCTGTGTAGGGTATAATGACACTCAGAATAAACTGCACATTATATGAAATCCCAATAATGTTTTAAACCTATCCAAATAAACTGGTTAAAACACAACCAGCGAGGGAAATTTCCTCAACTCCTGACATCACGCAATTTAATACCTAAAGTTCATGATGTCTATAACCACATCTTAAACCAACCTTTCTGGTATTCATTAAATTATATATATTATTTATATAACATCCCAGAAATAATTTAACACCAGTCCGTTTAAGTTGCTAAAACAAACTAGCGATTTACACCTTTCTCCTTCATTCCTTGACAATATGCCTATTATTTGTTTATGTTTCATATTTATACATGCTTTCATGAAATTAGTAGCTTGGTTGAGGTATTTGGTCGATGAGATGACGGACAAACTAAAAGAATAGAAAATGAATTCAACAGAATAGGGTATAAAAACAAAATCAAACTATATATTATGTACTGAAAAATTAAGTTGCTAGATGAAACGTCACAGCACGATCAATCTCCTAGTTCTGTATATATACAAATGTATATATAATTATGGGTAAAATGCAAAAAAAAACCCTCTGAATTATATTTTGTGCATAAATACTTCCTGAACTATCACATTTTGTTGCGAAATGTTCCAATGCCTAGAGTATATTTAATTAAATGACCATAATGCCATTTCTTATTGAATTATACTTAATTATTTTTCTTATTGAAATAAATTATGAAAAAAAAAAATCATACTAATATGATGACTCATTCTCCATTAAATTAGCATACAATTATCTTTAATTTTTGAAATTAATTGTTTAAATAAAAAAATCTTAAGTACAAATTTTTTAAAAAATTTAATTAATTTCTTAAATTTTAATGATTATATTACATGAAAATAAAGGTATTTTTATTTAAGTAATTTATTAATTTTTTATTAATATATTATAAGAAATTTAAGGTGCAAAGTATTTTTCTTCCGTAAAAAATTTTAAACTGACTATAATAAGTTATATTATAAATAATAAAATTTTAATAATAATTTAATTATTTAAAAAAATGGTAGTTATAAATTTATTTATTTATTTATTTTTATGGTAAATTGATATTAATAATAAAATTAAGATAAATAGTATAATTAATATTTAGATAAGATAAAAGATAATAAAAATAATTTAATAACAAATAACAAATAATAAATTAAATGAGAAAGAGTAAAATAGCCTTTTGTTATAAGTTTGTCCTTAATCGTAACAAATTAGTAGTTTAGAAAGATAATTTTTAGTTCAAGAAGTTATTTACAAAAGAACAATAGTTTAATTAGATTTTTTTACACTTTATCCTATAATTGTCTATTGAGTGAGTACTCCATACATGTGTATAGAGAGAGGAGTGATGATATCCATAAGAAATGGAATAGTTACAGAGAAGAAGGTCGTGTTGGAGAAGATAGGGGATAATGTCCGGAGGAAGCTTAGACACCCAAATAAAAAGTTGAATAAATATGAGATATTTGACCAATCCAGTGAATGAGATGGAGCGTATTCACTCACTGCGTGGTCCACTGATTATTGAGATGGTGATTGACTCGTCAAACTTTGATCCAGTCAGTCAATGCGTGGTCCACTGATTGCATTACTATTCCATGCAATAATTCATTTCACCAGAGGCAAGGGCTAAACATGTCAATCAGAACAACCTTCCCAGAAACTCCAATAGAACTGTGAACTTGGATTGCTATGCGATCTACAACACACACTCTCTGTGCTCTAAAACCGTGACCTCAAAAATCCTAAAATGTTGACTATAAAGTCTTCTTGGGTCACCTCTCAAGTCACAATACTCTTCTCTCTCTCTGTCTCTCTCTCTCTCTCTCACACACACACACACACACACACAATGAATAAACACCTACAGACCCTTCTCCTCCTGCATCTTCTTCACCTCATCCTCTGCTTCCAAACCACATTCTCCACCCATTTCGTCTTCAATGGCTTTGATCGCTCTGACATATCCTTATACGGCAACGCCACAGTTGATTCTGGCATTCTCACTCTCACCAATGCCTCAGCCTTCTCAATAGGCCGAGCTCTCTACCCATCAAAAATCCTCACAAAAGACCCAAACCAGCCAAACTACCCCACACAGGTAGTTCCCTTCAACACCTCTTTCGTCTTCTCCATAGCTCCTGATCTCAAAAGCTTCCTCCCCGGCCACGGATTCGTCTTCCTCTTCGTACCCTTCACCGGCATCCAAGGAGCAAGCCCGGACCATTTCCTGGGCTTCCTCAATGGCACCAACAATGGCGATCCCAACAACCATGTGTTCGGGATTGAATTTGATGTTTTCAAGAACCAAGAGTTCGGTGACATTAGTGACAACCATGTGGGCATCAATGTGAACTCACTCACATCCACAAGCGCACACCAGGCAGGTTATTGGCCTGACAATGACAAGTCTTTTAAGGAGTTGAAGCTCAACAATGGTAAAAAATATCAAGTTTGGATGGAGTATACTGGATTTAGCTTGAGGGTCACTATGGCTCCTGTGTCTATGAAGAGGCCTAAGAGACCACTTCTGCATGTTCCACTTCATTTACCTCATGTTTGTAAGGATGAAATGTATGTTGGGTTCACTGCATCCACAGGACACTTAGCTGAGAGTCACAAGATTTTTAGTTGGAGTTTTAGCACTTTTCGAATTTTTTCCAAGCTATAGCGTTGGTTGGTTTTAAGAGAAGAGAGAGTTCACAAAGAGTGTTTGTTGGACTCTATTTATCAGATTCCCCCATTGTAGCATTAATTTTTCTTGTATGTTTACACTCTACATGAGTGTATGTGCGTGTGTGAGAGAGTTGACAAAGAGTACGTACGTGTTTCTGGTATGTTTAGGCTTTGTGAATAAAAAATTGTCCATTCTTGATTCCATTGCTCTTTGTTTGGTGATTGAACCATGGATTTGTGGATGGATTTGGTCGGAGTTGAGGATATATCTGTGATTTTATATGCATATACTTGCCAAGAGTCTCATGTTTTGATTTTTTGAGTTAATATATTTCTTTCCATGATTAAATATGCATTGTATGCATTTTGTGAGATTCCTGTGAAATGGAAGAATTCAACTATGTATATAGCCATATAGGTGGTATTTTTATCATTGTTTAACTCACACATATGAGATAAACGGGTTAGTAGTTTAGCGGTATCGAACTCTTATTTTTTAAAAGGAGGTCGGTGTGTATGTGCGAATACCAATTAAAAAAAAAAAAATTGATACATATGCATTGTAATTTTTTTTTCAAAGGCAATCATGTGGTCCATGTCCTATGTCACCTTTCGATGTCAACCACTCGTTCGTTGACTGATAACAGAACTTTAAAATTAGTTGAGGGGAACATTAAGTGCCTCGATCTCTTTCTATTGAGAGTTTGAATATGATAATACATATCCTTGACGATGAACAACTACCTCAACACGAGTAAAAATTGAGAGAAAGATTGAAAAATTCAAAAGATTAATAAGAATTGTTCAACATGTTATCTAATTCAAATTCTTTCCGGTTAGATGAATGGTAAAGAGAGAAAATCAAATTTTCAGATGGAGAGAAAAAATTCAAAATAGTATAAAAAATATATAAAAGGTAAAAGTTGTTTATTATATTTCTAATAGTAGTATAGATATTTGAAAATGATATATCATATATTCTCAATCTCCACTGGAGATGCATGAGGTTCAAAAAAATTTTAAAAATTAATAAGAATTGTTCAACATGTTATTCTATTTAAATTCTTTCTGGTTAGATGAACGGTAAAGAAAGAGAAAATCAAATTTTCAAATGGAGAGAAAAAATTCAAAATAGTATAAAAAATATATAAAAAGTAAAAATTATTTATTATATTTTTAATAGTAGTATAGATATTTGAACATGATATATCATCATATATCCTCAAGCTCCACTGGAGATGGATTAAGTATATGAATAATAATTATTCGTGAGAGGCCTAATTAAATCAACACCTTTTGACGTAAAAATATTTTTTTTTTTTAGGAAGGTGACGTAAAAATATTTTGCAAAGATAATAAAGTTGGTCCAGTTATCTTTATGCTGACTTGAAATTAATTATTTTGTAATCAATGACCTAATCATTATTTATGATGTTTTTTAATTATTAAATGATGCTAAGACCCACCTAGCAATTTCTCAGTGGACCCCACCAAACTCTGGTCCCAGTGTGGTCCACGATTACTACCATTCCATGTCCATAGGTTCATTTCCCCATAGGTAAGGGCTAAACATGTCAATTCACAATCACCTTCCAAGAAACTGCAATAGAACCAACTTGTCTTAGGTCAGTGTCAAAAAGTCGTTATTTGTCTTTCATCACTAAAAATTTAAAAATCCATAGCCAGTTTATTCTTATATGTTCGATTCAACAAATTTTCTTTTGGCCTTTGGTCTAAAGCTAGCATTTCCAAGAAATAGCCTTAAAATGCATAGTTTTGGCAACAACCCTAAAGCTAATTGATGTTTGATTATCAGTTTTGCAAGTTATGTTTGTTTCTCATAGTCTTACAAAAACCATGAAATTGCTTTTGCTTTATTGTTTCTTTTCCATGCTTCATGATCTTGCTCACGGTGATCCTCCCTATAACCTATGTCCAAACACCACTACTTTTACACATAATAGTCCATTTCAATTGAATCTCAATAGTCTCTTTGTTGCTTTATCCTCAAATGCTTCTGTCAAGAACTACTACAATACCTCTATTGGGAATGATCCAAATGGTGTTTATGGTCTCTTTCTCTGCTATAAATATGTTTCGAGAAACGATTGTGAGAACTGCATAGCCACTGCATCACAAGACATCCAAAAGCTTTGTTCAAACACAGCTGATGCAGTTGTGTGGGAAGATGTGTGCCAATTGCGCTACTCTAACCAAAAGTTCTTTGGCCATTTGGATGTTTCAGGTAACATCCCTAAAGACAACACACAGAATGTTTCTGAACCTGACTGGTTCAGGTCTGTCGTGAATGACAGATTACATAAGCTCACTAAGATGGCAGCTTTTGATCCCTCAACCGGTATGTCTGTTACCGGATCAGTAAATTATACAGACGCGGACACCATATATGCACTTGTGCAGTGCACTACAGACTTGGCTCCAGATGACTGTAATACATGCCTTGAAACTGCGATAATAAATGTTTCAAGTTGCTGCTATTTTTCTCGAGGGGCAAGACTTCTTAGCCGGAGTTGCTATTTGAGGTATGAGTTCTATGCTTTTTATGAAGGCGCGACTGATAATCCTAATTCAACTCAAATTCAGGGTTCAGTGTCAAGTAAGTATTTATAAAATTTGTTTTTCCAGTTCAAGAAAGGGTTAATTGTATAGTAAGCTGCAAATTGAGTTATATATTTTTGAGCAGGTGGTGGAAGGGAGAAATGGATGATTGTGATCCTTGCAATTGGATCAGCAATTTTAGTGGTTGCACTTTTGGGGTTCTGTATCTACTGTCTTGCAGTGAGGAACAAAACTAAAAGAAGTAAAGGTGCCAACTTTTCCAAGTTAATTCTCTAATTTTAGTCTTTTTATTCTTTTATTCAAATTACTAATTTCAAGAAATTCAATTATGTGATACTGTTACACTCTATAAAATAGATTTGAACCACAAAAATTTGCAAGGAAGGGATGATTTCAACCCTCAGGAATCTCCATTCATTGAATTGAGAACTCTAGATGTTGCTACTGATGGTTTCTCTGATTCAAACAAGCTTGGACAAGGTGGTTTTGGCCCTGTTTACAAGGTATAGTATTTCTCCAACAAAAAAGGCCAAATGGGACTTTCTTGATGTCTAATCAATGGCTACATATTGTCAATTGGACTAGGGACATTTTAGAAAGTGTTATATCATTTTTGTTAGGGTATACTACCAGATGGGAAGGAAATAGCAGTGAAGAGGCTCTCGAGCAATTCTGAGCAAGGGTCAGATGAATTCACAAACGAAGTTCTACTAATACTGAAACTTCAACACAAAAATCTTGTCAGGCTTTTGGGATTTTGTGTAGACGGAGAGGAGAAGCTGCTCATTTATGAATACATGCCGAACAGCAGCTTGGATGTCTTCCTCTTTGGTTAGTGTTCTTCTGTTGACTTCTATCCCATTTTTTCAACTCAGCGAAACTCCATATGAAGTTTAAGTAATGAATTCATTTATACTCTGTATGGTTAGATTCCAGAAAACGCGCGCAACTTAACTGGAGTAGACGCCTAAATATTATTAATGGAATTGCCAGGGGAATGCTATATCTTCATGAGGATTCTCGACTTAGAATCATTCATAGAGACCTTAAAGCTAGCAACGTTTTACTAGATGTTGACATGAATCCAAAGATCTCAGACTTTGGAATGGCAAGGATCTTTGGAGGAAGTGATGGTGAAGCTAATACTGCTAAGATTGTTGGGACCTAGTAAGTGCATGCTCAAATATATGTATAAATTAATTTGTACCATTACCTTAAAACTTTTTTTCTTCTATGGACAGTGGATATATGGCTCCAGAGTTTGCCATGGAAGGACTATATTCCGTAAAGTCTGATGTCTTTAGCTTTGGGGTTCTCTTGCTAGAGATCATTACTGGAAGAAGGAATGCCGGATTCCATCTCTCCAAACGTGGCCCTAGCCTTCTAGCATATGTATATCTATTGTGCTCAAGTTTCAAAACCATTTTCAAATGATTTTTTTTTTTTTTTTTTTTTTGTTTGGTACAATTTTTGCTTAAATGATCTAATTCCAACATTTTGATGGTGCAGGCATGGCAATTATGGAATGAAGGAAGAGGGTTGGAATTGATCGATCCTTTACTGATGGATTCATACTGCCCTGATGAATTTTTGAGATGCATGCATATTGGACTATTGTGTGTTCAAGAATATGCATATGAAAGGCCTACCATGTCATCTGTTGTTGTCATGATTAAAAGTGAAACTGTAACTCTTGGCCCCCCTGAACGACCTGCCTTCTCTGTGGGGAGGTTCACTGATCACTACGAAGCAAATGATAACAATGTTTGTTCTTTTAACGGTTTAACAATTTCAAATATCACACCTAGGTGATGATGAAGCCCTTGACTGGGTGGAACTTCACCGTGCCTTAATGTCAGAGCTTGAGTGTTGGATATGTGTAATTTGTAACTGTTATTCTTGCCTGTGAGAAACTTATTTATAATTATCTTGGATTTCTATAAGTTAAAGTCATCTTCATCACTAAAGATGGTTCTAAACCTTTAATGGCGCGTTATGTAATAGAAATCAGAGCTTGTGACAAGAGTCTATGCCATATCAATGAGATTCATCAATTTTCCCTTCAATGCCATCCTATTAATTTCAAAGAGGTCCTATTACTTTTAACTTAGGAATTAGTTTGGAAAGACAAGCCTTTTCTTTTCAATATTAGATACAAGTTTTCTTTCATTTTCTTCTTTCTCCCATTGAAGATAAACCCTCTGATTAATCTTTGCAGTATATAAAATTAAATCATAAAAGCAGAAGATAAATTAGATAACATGGGGAATAATTAAGACAAATGGCTTGTTTGCATCATCAACCATATCAAACTCTAATACACTCATAATTACCAAGGAAGAGAATGTAATTGTATTTGTGAATTTAATGTTGTAAATGGAGTTTAGTCTTACACTAATATGAATCATATCAGAAAATGTTGGCCACATCAATATTAGAGGGTGCAGTTTATCGTACTACAACCCACTGTTTATGGAAATTTTATAACATTTAAAATGGAAGTTATATGAAAGCATATTTTGATTAGGCAATAAATGGTTTGAAGTAGGATAATCAATCTCTTAAGATAATCAACGGTTAGTTTAGTCAAGGAAGGTCAGGTATATTCTCAAGTCTTAATAAACTGCCTTTTACTTTTCTTTTCTATCCAACTAGATGCTACCAAGACACTGGAAATGCCATTTAAATAGCTAATTCGCATTCTTATTAGTTTTAATTAATATATACTTCAAATTTAATCACATACTCCACCAACTCTGTGTCACACAACACCTTTTATGACGCATTCTTTGTTATTGAAAGTCCGCTGCCATTACCAGGAATCTCTTGACTTCTCTCTTCAAGTAGAATAGTCATACACAATGGTTAGGTGATGCATGCAGTGGTTGGATAACTACCATCAAGTGTTTCTTTCAAACCCAAAAGCCAATCAATGAGCCTCTTCTTGTTTGGTGACTTTCCTTGAGAGGCAGAAGGAAGACTGCTTATTTTTTAAGTACAAAGCATACATAGTTTAAGAACTCTCAAACACAATATATGAGATAAACTTAAAAACATCATACTTAAACTATTCATGAATTTAAAAAACAATGTGATTAATGATTATTGACTCCATGCCATGGACCAATTGAGCATCCAGTGGAAAATCTTGCGCCGCCTGCCATGGCTTTTCAAAATTTCATAATAATAACAAAAATGTAACTATTCTTTCCAATCACTATCAATATATTGCATTCGTGGTTACTATTCTTTCCAATCACTATCACTATACAAGATTCATGGTCCCCCTAGCATTTTAGTCTTCTCCGACCAGTTCAAAGAACCAGTATGGAAGTTAAATTTCATAATAATAACAAAATGTAACTATTCTTTCCAATCACTATCAATATATTGCATTCGTTTTGTGGTTACCATTCTTTCCAATCACTATCACTATACAAGATTCATGGTCCCCCTAGCATTTTAGTCTTCTCCAACCAGTTCAAAGAACCAGTATGGAAGTTTCTGAGTAATTTTCTATTGATTTTACTGAACGAAAACTTGTTGGCAAACTTCAAATTGTGTGTCAAATTGAATCAAGACTACATCTCCTCCAGTTGTTGAAGCATTATTGCTTTTGGGGAAAAGTTGGGAACCAAAACCCTCAAACTAGGAATGTTGACAAAAATAGATACACTTGTAGCTCTGCTTTTCCTAATGCTACTCCTCTTGGCACTCTCTACCCCTGTTAGTGCAGAACCTCACTTTACATTCTGTCATGATACTATGACAAATTATTCTCTCAATAGCCCATTTGAAGACAACCTCAAGAACCTTCTTGATAACATATCTTATAGTACTCCTCACAATAAAGGCTTTTATAACACCTCAATTGGAAATGACACTAACCAAGTCTATGGGCAAGCGCTTTGTAGAGGGGATGTCACTCCCAGAGTTTGCCAGAACTGTGTTGAGAATGTAAGCCTAGAGATCATGGAGGAGTGCAAAAGTCAAGCTGCAGTTATATGGTATGAAAAATGTCAAATTCAATACTCGTACCGTATGTTCTTTAACACCCTGCAGCCTTACACCTTTAAGTTTCCAGACTGGAATAATCAGATGAGAAATGTGTCGGATCCAGTTCCTTTCAGTGCGGCTCTTACGAGTTTCATGAAAAACCTTTCAACTAAGGCTGAAATTGATCCTTCTAAGCTCATGTTTGCAACTGGAAACATCAAATTTTCAAGGATAGAAACGATATATGGGCTTGTGCAGTGTACGAGGGATATCTCTCCTACTGACTGCAGTGGTTGTTTGAATTCTGCCTTAACAGAACTTGAAGGATGCTGCAATTATCGTCAAGGTGAAACTATTTTTAGCAGGAATTGTAATGTGAGGTTTGAGCTGTACCGCTTTTTTGATGACTCAACCGGCAATGGTAAGAAAATCAAAACAACTTCCTTGTCAATCATATCTTGCTATACACTTCCAAGAGAAATAACAATATGTGAAAACTGATTCTGAGTAAACATACAGATGATTTCTTGCCTTTTCTAAGCATACATCTGCTTGAACTTTATATGTGATTTCTCTGTTTTGTTTTGGTTTTCTTTTTGTTTTTGTTTTCTTCTTTTGATTTGATATGCTTTGAATTAGGCTAAGATATTCTGAATGTGCTATTCTTTTTTTTGCTTATAGATTATGACACACATATGATCTGGCCTATTTATAGTTGGCCATATCGAATCAATGGACTAACTCTTGCAGGTGGCCTAGAACAGTTATATAAGGGCCAACCTCCCAATAAAAAGTTGGGAATATCCCATATGTCAAATAGTGAAACTGGCAAAACAACTAATTTGGTCCATCATAACCCTACTAAATTTTGAAGGATAGAAGAATTTCAGTTACAAAACATTGTTGCCACTCGTGACCAGCATCGCTCTCTCTCTCCCTTTTTTATTTTTTTTAAATAAAGCAGAATACATATGGTGAACTTGAATTGAAGGCAGAGCATTTTTGCCTTGAAAAACAAGGGACAAATGGAGGATTTGGGTTGCTGTAGCAGTAGGCTGCGTATCAACATTTGTGCTAGCAGTATTAATTTGGTACCATGCCATTCATCCCAGAAAGAGGAGGAAGAGAACACAGATAGGTATATTTACTATTTATCAAAATGAGCCTTTTCCAAACAATTCTATATCGATGGCAGAACTACCATAACTAAAATTCTAGTCTCTCCCAGATGAGGAAAAGAGCAAAAATGCATTTTTACATGACTTGGCAACTCCAACTGGTGTTACAATTACACAGGAGGGTGACTTGGTTCTCAGGAATTGCCATTCATGGAGTTGTCAACAATAGTGGCAGCTACAGATAACTTCTCTGATTCAAATAAGCTTGGACAAGGTGGTTTTGGCAGTGTTTACAAGGTATAAAACCTTCTTTTCTAGTTCAACGAGATTCAAGTATACTGTTTCATAGGCCTTGATTCTAATCTGGTTAGTAAATATTTAAGTGGTGTCTCTTCAGGGTGTGATATCATGTGGGAATGAAATAGCAGTTAAAAGACTGTCAAGGAAGTCATGGCAAGGATTAGAGGAGTTCAAGAATGAGGTCATATTGATTGCTAAACTTCAACACAAAAACCTCGTGAGACTCGTGGGATGTGGCATAGAGGGAGAAGAAAAGCTGCTTGTATATGAGTACATGCCCAACAAAAGTCTTGATATGTTCATATTTGGTTTGTTTGTTTGCTCCCCTAATCTATTGACTTACTTATGGTCCTCTGTAGATTAAAAGCAAAATAAAACCTTTAAGCATGACTTCTCCAATATCTCACATTGTATTGATTTTCAGATTCAGAAAAACGCTCACAGCTTGATTGGGAGATTTGTCATAACATTATCAATGGAATTGCCCGAGGACTACTTTATCTTCATGAGGAATCGAGGCTAAAAATCATTCATGGGGACCTAAAGCCTAGTAATGTTCTCTTGGACAGTGAAATGGTTGCAAAGATTTCAGATTTTGTAATGGCGAGGATTTTCTGTGAAAACCAAAATACAGCCAACACCAGAAGGGTTGTAGGAACATAGTAAGTCTGCTCTTTTTGTATCATCCACTATACTATGCAATTTAACAAAAAATAAGGCATAGTAATTAGTAAAGCTACTACTTAATTGATACAGTGGATATATGGCTCCGGAGTATGCAATGGAGGGACTATTCTCAGTCAAATCTGATGTGTTCAGTTTTGAAGTGATTTTGCTTGAGATCATAAGTGGGAAAAAGAATAGTGGTTTCTATTTAACCGGACAAGCTCAGACTCTTCTTGCATATGTATGTTTTTCAATCTGTTTGAATGGTAATATGTTTCATCTAAATCATCAAATCTTGGAAACTAATGATGTTTCTCAATGACAGGCTTGGCGACTATGGAATGAAGATAGAGAATTGGAACTTACAGATCCATTGTTGACTATATCATGCCCCATGGTGGAGGTTGTAAGATGCATTCATATTGCGCTTTTGTGTGTCCAGGAAGATCCAGCAGACAGGCCAACCATGTCATCTTTAGTTGTTCTGTTGGGAAGAGAATCATTAGCACTTCCAGAACCAAGACAACCTGCATTTTCTGTGGGGAGAGTTGTTCAAATTGACCAACCTTCATCTACAGATGCTTCTGTAAATCAGCTTACGATTTCTAGTATATCCCCGCGTTAAGTGCTGCCACATAAAATTATGAAATTGAACTAAACTCTAACTTAATGTGGCAAATTATATGGCAAGGTGCAATGACATTTTGCAGTTGTAACAATGTGTTTATCATAAGACATTCAATTTTACTCTCTCCCCTAAAAAGAATATAGCATAGTCAAAATAAGTTGCCACAAGAGCTCTACTTTCTACCCACATCAAGATGAAAAAATAAAAAATAAAAAATCCAAAATCCAGTTAATTTGTGGCCCACTGATTGGATTATTGTTCCATGTCTATAATTCATTTTGTCATAGGTAAGGGCCAAACATGTCAAGCACAACCACCTTCCAAGAAACTGCAATGGAACTAATTGTCTATGATCTTGTCTTTTACCAAAAAGTCGTTATTTGTCTCTTCTATTTTTAAAATTCCATAGCCAGTTTCTTCTTATCTTCTCTGTAAGTAAGGCTGACCAATAACATCCCATAATATGCTAATCAATGCAACAAAATAAAGATCAAGAACCTGCCAATTGAATTGATTAAAATTCCAAAGTTGAAAGAAGAAAAAAGAAAAGAAAACCATTAAATGTCAGAGTCACATATCATATTATTCTCGCAAAGTTGTTCATTTATCAAACTATTCAATAATTTTTCATTTGGCCCTGGTCTAAAGCTAGCCTTTCCAAGAAATATCCTTTCAACCCAAAATCAAATCTATCCAGTTAAGCTTTAAAATGCATAGTTTTGGCAGCAAACCTAAAGCTATGGTATTTGATTATCACTATTGCAATTAAGTTATGTTTCTTTCTCAGAGTGTTAGAAAAACCATGCAATTGCTTTTGCTTTATTTTTGTTTTTCTGTCCATCATCATCTTGCTTATGCCGACCCTCCCGAAAAACTATGTCCAAACACAACTAATATTGCACATAACAGTCCATTTCAATTGAACCTCAATAATCTACTTGGTTCTTTATCCTCAAATGCTTCTGTCAAGAACTACTACAATACCTCTATTGGGAATGACACAGATGGTGTTTATGGTCTCTTTCTCTGCTATAACTATGCTTCAAGAGACAAATGTGAGAATTGCATAGCCAATACTGCATCAGAAAACATCAAAAGGCTTTGTTCAAACACTTCTGAAGCAGTTGTGTGGGAAGAGGATTGCCAATTGCGTTACTCTAACCAAAGGTTCTTTGGCCATTTGGATGTCACAGGTAACATGCCTAGAGATAACAAACAAAATGTTTCAGAACCTGATCGGTTCAGGTCTGCAGTGAATGACACATTACAAAACCTTACCAAGCTGGCAGCTTTTGATCCCTCAACTGGTATGTATGTTACCGGAGCAGTGAATTTTACAGACACCAACACCATACATGCACTTGTTCAGTGCACTACAGACCTGTCTCCAGATGATTGTAATACTTGCCTTGAAACTGCGATAATAGACGTGTCAAGTTGCTGCTATTTTTCTCGAGGTGCAAGAGTTCTTAGCCGGAGTTGCTATTTGAGGTATGAGTTCTATGCTTTTTATGACGGGGAGACTGAATTTCCTAATTCAACTCAATTTGATCAGGGTGCAGTATCAAGTAAGTACTTTTAAATGTTAAAATATGGTCAATTATATAGTAAGTGCAAATTGAGTGTATATTTTGTTCCCAAAAGCAGGTGGCGGATGGGAGAGATGGATGACTCTGGTTCTTGCTATTGGATCAACAGTTTTAGTGGTTGCACTTCTTGTTTTATGTACCTACTGCTTTGCAGTGAGGAATGGAACTATAAAATGTAAAGATATATGCTAGCTTTTCGAATTAGTTTCTTATGTAATTTTATCTTTTGTTTGTTTTTTTTTTATTTTTTATTGTTTAAATAATCTGTTACTCATTTCAGTGAAAAGCAAGAATTCTGGTCAAGAAGTCCAATTATGTGACACTGGCCACCCACATAACACAGATTTGCGGCACCAAAAATTGCAAGGACATCAGGAATTTCCCTTTTTTGATTTGGCAACCATAAATGTGGCTACTGATGACTTCTCTGATTCAAATAAGCTTGGCCAAGGTGGTTTTGGCCCTGTTTACAAGGTATAGCATTTCTCATAACAAAAACTGTCAGATGGTCTTTTCTTGATTTCTAATGAGTAGCTAATTAAATATTCTAAACTGGATTAGGAAATGTTTTGAAAGTGGTTTATGGTTATTAATTTTAGGGTATACTACCAGATGGGAAGGAAATAGCAGTAAAGAGGCTATCAAGCAGTTCCGAGCAAGGTTCAGATGAATTCACAAATGAAGTTCTGTTAATACTGAAACTTCAACACAAGAATCTTGTGAAGCTGTTGGGTTTTTGCGTAGATGGAGAGGAAAAGCTGCTCATCTATGAATACATGCCTAACAGCAGCCTAGATGTCTTCATCTTTGGTTTGTCGTCTTCTTTCCATTTCTGTCTATATTTTTCAACTTGAGAATTGCAAAGTATAACATACATATTTGTTGAATTAAATATGAAGTTTATCCTATGATCTTCATTTATACTTTTGTGTGGTTAGATCCCAGAAAACGTGCACAACTCAATTGGAGTAGACGGCTAAATATTATTAATGGAATTGCCAAGGGAATGCTATATCTTCATGAGGATTCTCGACTTAGAATCATTCATAGAGACCTTAAAGCTAGCAACGTTTTACTAGATGTTGACATGAACCCGAAGATCTCAGACTTTGGAATGGCAAGGATCTTTGGAGGAAGTACTGATGGAGAAGCTAATACTGCTAGGATTGTTGGGACATAGTAAGTGCTCAGAATTCAAATACATGCGTATATTATATACTAGTGTTTTAATCTTTATTGCTACCTTAAATTCTATTTTTCTTCAATGGCCAGTGGATATATGGCTCCAGAATTTGCTATGGAAGGACTATATTCCATAAAATCTGATGTTTTTAGCTTTGGAGTTCTCTTGCTTGAGATCATTACTGGTAGGAGGAATGCAGGATTCCATCTCTCCAAACGCGGCCCTAGCCTTCTAGCATATGTATATCTATTGTTCTTATAAGTGTAATTCAAAATGATTTTTTAGTTTACAATTTTGCTTAAATTAATGATCTAATGCAAAATTTTTAATGGTGCAGGCATGGCAATTATGGAATGAAGGACGAGGGCTGGAATTGATGGATCCTTTATTGATGGATTCATGTTGCCCCGATGAATTTCTGAGATGCATGCATATTGGACTATTGTGTGTTCAAGAGGACTCATATGAAAGGCCTACCATGTCATATGTTGTTGTCATGCTCAAAAGTGAAACTGTCACTCTTGCGCCACCTGAAAGACCTGCCTTCTCGGTTGGGCGATTTTCTGACCACTATGAAGCAAATGATAACATCTGTTCTGTTAATTGTTTAACGATTTCAGATATCACACCTAGGTGACAAGAGTCCTTTAATGGGCGGAAAAAATTTCACAAAGCCTTAATGTCAGAGCCAGAGTGTCGGATTTTGTATATAATTTCAAATTGCTTCTGTAATGTGTAGTTTGTAACTGTTTTTCTTTTCTGTGAGGAACTTCTTCATGAACATCATGGTTTTTAATTCTGGATTTCTATAGGAGAAGTCATCTGCATCACTAAAGATGGTTACAAGTTATATAATAAATATCAAAAAACTTGTTCCTGTTCAAATATGCATGCTTGGATTTTGTATTTGTCACAAGAGTCTACTCCAACTCAATGAAATTTTTATTGATTGCAAAGATGCCTTATCAATTCTTACATAAGATTCAAGCCTTTTATTTTGATATCATACCATTTTTCTTTCATTTTCTTCTTTCTCATTTAAACAAGCATAAAAAACAGAAGAGATTAGGTAGAAGGAGAAATAATTTACTAGGGAAAAACAAAGAAACAATTAATAAAAATGGACTGTTTGTGTCACCAACCTTATAAAAGTCTAATAATGGGAATAACTATCAGAACTTGTTGGCAAAATCAATATTAGTTTCAGTTCTGTTCAGGGCACAGTTTATCCTACAGCAAGTGGCTCTTGGAAATACTAAAACATTGAAATAGTGGTTACATGGCAGCATACTTTTATTTTAATAATCTAGTCAACAGTCTAAATAAATGCCATTTAAATACCTAATTTGCTTTCTTATTAGTTTTAAGTACTTCAATTTTTAATCACACAGTCCAGAAATCTCTCTTGATTCTTTCTTCAAGTAGAAGAGTCATACACGAGGGTTAGTTTTTTCTTTTTAATTGACTAAGTTTAAATTACTTACAGAGACTACTAACTGATGCATTTGATTCTTAGTTTCCAGTAAATGACTCTGAAGTCGGGTAAGTAACATGGATGTTTCCTTATTAGCCAAAATTCAAATCAATTGAGCCATTTCTTGTTTGGTCACTTTCATTGAAAGGCAAAGAAGATTATGATTTACAACTACAAATTAAACATAGTCTTTTATTCAATTTTGTATAGAGATAAACTCAAAACGTCATACTTAAAACAGTTTTATTGTTGACTCCATGTCCATGGCATTGTCATCTAATGAAAAAATCTTATGGTGCCGGCGATGGATTTTCAAAATTTTATATATATATATATATATCTGAACATATTATATTTTCTTTCCAACCACCACCACCAGTTCCAAGCATCAATATGGAAATTTCTGAGTAATTTTCTACTGTTTACTGAATACAAATTTGTGGGCTAACTGCTTGTCAAATTGAATCAAGTCTAAATCTTCTCCTCCAGTTGTTCAAATATTATTGCTTTTGGTGTAAAGTTAGGAACCAATTTGCTCTCAAACTAGGAATGTTGACCAAGATAGATACACTTGTATCTATGCTTTTTCTAATGGTACTCCTCTTGGCAATCTCTACCCCTGTCAGTGCAGAACCTCAATCAACTGCTTGTCAAGATGATACGAATGTGATGAATTATACTCTCAATAGCCCATTTGAAAAAAACCTCAAGCACCTTCTTGATACCATATCTTCTAGTACTCCTCATAATGAAGGCTTTTATAACTCCTCAATTGGAAATGATAGTAACCAAGTTTACGCGCAAGCACTTTGTAGAGGGGATGTCACTCCCAGAGTTTGTCAGAAGTGTGTTGAGAATGCAAGCCAAGAGATCATGGAGGAGTGCACAAGTCAAGCTGCAATTATATGGTATGAAAAATGTCAAATTCAATACTCGTACCTGATGTTCTTTTCGACCCGGCAGGCTTTCACTGGAAAGTATCCAGATTGGAATAAAAAGATGAGAACTGTGTCAGACCCCATTCCTTTCAGTGCAGCTCTTAAAAGTTTCATGAAAAACCTTTCAACTAAGGCCGCATTTGATCCTTCTAAGCTCATGTTCGCAACTGGAAACATCAAGTTTTCAAGGACAGAAAAGATATATGGGCTTGTGCAGTGTACGAGGGACATCTCTCCAAGTGACTGCAGTATTTGTTTGGATTTTACCTTGGCAGATCTTGAAGGATGCTGCTATTCTCGTGAAGGTGGAACTGTTTTTAACAGAAATTGTAATGTGAGGTTCGAGCTGTACAAATTTTTTGATGACTCAACCGACAATGGTAAGAAAATCAAAACAACTTCCTTGTCAAGCATGTCTTGCTATACACTTCCAATAGAAATAACAATATGTGAAAACTGATTCGAGTATACATACAGATGATTTCTTGCCTTTTCTACCAAATTTTGGAATTTTTGCATACATCTGCTTGAACTTTATTTGTGATTTCTCTGTTTTGTTTGGGTTTTGTTTTTGTTTTTGTTTTTGTTTTCTCCTTTTGATTTGATATGTTTTGAATTAAGCTAAGATATTCTGAATTTGCTATTTTTTTATGCTTAATTTTTCCCACATTAAATACCTGAAGAACATTTGTTATAGATTATGACACAATCTTGATCTGGCCTAGTTATACTTGGCCATATCGAATCAATGGACCAACACTTGCAGGTGGTCTAGAACAGTTATATAAAGTCCTACTTCCCAACAAAAAGTTGGGAATATCCCATTTGTCGAATAGTAAAACTGGCAAAACAGCTAGTTTGGTCTATCAAAATCCTACTAAAATTTGAAGGACAGAAGAATTTCAGTTACAAAACAATGTTGCCACTCGTGACCAGCATCTCTCTCTCTCTCTCTCTCTCTTTCTTGCAATTAGGTTGTTGTTGTTTTTCTTTAAATAAAGCAGTATATAAAAGGTGAACTTGAATTGAAGGCAGAGCATTTTTTGCCTTGAAAAGCAGGGGGCAAATGGAGGATTTGGGTTGCTGTAGCAGTACTTTGCGTATCAACATTTGTGTTAGCAGTATTAATTTGGTACTGTGCCATTCATTGCAGAAAGAGGAGGAAGAGAACACAGAAAGGTATATTTAGTATTTATCAAAATGAGCATTTTCCCAACAATTCTATATCGATATCAGAGCTACCATAACTGAAATTCTATTGTCTCCCAGATGAGGAAAAGAGCGAAAATGCATTTTTACATGACTTGGCAACTCCAACTGGTGTTACAATTACACAGCAAGGTGACTTAGTTGGCTCTCAGGAATTGTCCTTCATGGAGTTGTCAACAATAGTGGCAGCTACCGACAACTTTGCTGATTCAAATAAACTTGGACAAGGTGGTTTTGGCAGTGTTTTCAAGGTAAAACCTTCTTTTCTAGTTCAACGAGATTCAAGTATATTGTTTCACAGGCCTTAATTCAAATTTAATTAATAAAATATTCTAGTGGAGTCTCTTTAGGGTGTGTTACCAAATGGGAAGGAAATAGCAGTGAAAAGACTGTCAAGGAAGTCATGGCAAGGATTAGAGGAGTTCAAGAACGAGGTCATATTGATTGCTAAACTTCAACACAGAAACCTCGTGAGACTCGTGGGATGTGGCATAGAGGGAGAAGAAAAGCTGCTCGTATATGAGTACATGCCCAACAAAAGCCTTGATATGTTCATATTTGGTTTGTGTTTTTGCTCCCTTAATCTATTGACTTACTCATGGTCCACTGTAGATTCAAAGCAAAATAAAACTTTTAAGCATGACTTCTTCAATATCTCACATTGTATTGATTTTCAGATTCAGAAAAACGCTCACAACTTGATTGGGAGATGTGTCATAACATTATCAATGGAATTGCCCGAGGACTACTCTATCTTCACGAGGACTCGAGGCTAAAAATCATACATAGGGACATGAAGCCTAGTAATGTGCTCTTGGACCATGAAATGGTTGCAAAGATTTCAGATTTTGGAATGGCGAGGATTTTCTGTGAAAACCAAAATACAGCCAACACCAGAAGGGTTGTAGGAACATAGTAAGTCTGCTCCTTTTGTATCATCCACTATACTACACAATTTAACAAAAAAATAAGGCATAGTAATTAGTAAAGCTACTATTTAATTGATACAGTGGATACATGGCTCCTGAGTATGCAATGGAGGGACTGTTTTCTGTTAAATCTGATGTCTTTAGTTTTGGAGTGATTTTGCTCGAGATCGTGAGTGGGAAAAAGAACAGTGGTTTTCATTTAACTGGACAAGCTCAGACTCTTCTTGCATATGTATGTTTTTCAATTTGCTTGAATGGTAATATGTTATCAGCTAAATCATCCAATCTAGGAAACTGATGATGTTTCCCAATGATAGGCTTGGCGACTATGGAATGAAGATAGAGAACTGGAAATTATAGATCCATTGTTGACTGAATCATGCCCCATGGTGGAGGTTGTAAGATGCATTCATATTGCGCTCTTGTGTGTCCAGGAAGATCCAGCAGACAGACCTACCATGTCATCTGTAGTTGTTCTGTTGGGAAGTGAATCATTAACACTTCCGGAACCAAGACAACCTGCATTTTCTGTGGGGAGAGTTGTTCAAATTGATCAACCTTCATCAACAGATGCTTCTGTAAATCAGCTTACGATTTCTAGTATATCTGCGCGGTAAGTGCTGCCACATCAAATTGTGGCACACCCCGGTTATAAAATTGAACTAAACTCCAACTCAATGTGGCATATTGTATAGTGCAATGCCATTTTGCACTTGTAACCATGTGTTGATCACTGTAAGACATTTAGGTTTATGCTCTCCCTCTTTTGTCACTACTTCTAAAAAGGAGACAGTATAGTCATAATCAGGTATCATAAGGGCTCTATTTTCTACCTGCAGCAAGATGAAAACAAAAATCCAAATTCCTAGGGGTGAAAATTTTACTGATCTATATTTGCATTGTTTGCGCAATAAAATGACATGCTGCCATATGTATCAATTGAGGCATGCCATTTGGAAAGAAGGAATTCTCAACCCTTCCAATAGGTAGAAATTTATCAGAAGTTAGATAAAGTATCTTTTTAAAATAGGATGGTTTGTATATGCTATCAGAAACAATTTTTTTCTAATTCAGTGTATTGGTGCATTTGTAATTAATAAGATTTCAATAAAAAAACAAGATCTTGTAAATCTCAATGTATAACTTCAATCTGTCATGTATTCTGATCTTTTATTTAGTTGTGTGAAGCTATCTCCATCACAAAGGATTTATGGTGGAAATAGGTAGTATATGAATGGTGGGGTTAGAGAAATTGTTACATTCATTGATGGTACCATGTCATGACATGTATCTCATGCAATTAGATAATGTCATTTGATGGTGATTGACTCACCAAACTCGCGTCTAGTCAATGAGTGGCTCACTGATTGGATTACTATTCCATTTCAATAATTCATTTCACCATAGGTAAGAGCTAAAAACGTCAAGCATAATCACCTTCCCAGAAACAGCAATGGAACTGCCTGTGATCTTTAGTCTTTCACCGTCTTTTACCAAAAACTCGTTCCTTGTCTCCGCTATTTTCATCACTACGAAAATCCCATAGAACTCCATGGTCATTTCCTTGTCAACTCTGCAAAAATATTATTGATCAAATCATCCAATAAATTTTCGTGTTGCCCTGGTCTAAAGCTAGCCTTTCCAAGAAATATCCTTTCAGCCCAATTCAAATCTATTCAATTAAGGTCTCATGACTGCACAATTTTCTTATATTCATAAGCCTAAGCCTTAAAATGCATAGTTTTGATGCCTAATCACTATATAATGCAATGTTCTCAAGAAGGCAAGACATGCTTCTTTACCAGGGTGTTCTGAAAACCATGCAATTTCTTTTGCATTTTTGTTTCTTTTCTATGCTTCTTGGTCTTGCTCATGCTGACCCTCCCTATAACCTATGTTTAAAGACAACTAATATTGCACAAGACAGTCCATTTCAATTGAACCTCAACAACCTCCTTGGTTCTTTCTCCTCAAATGCTTCTGTCCAGAACTACTACAATACCTCTATTGGGAATGACACGAATCGTGTTTATGGTCTGTTTCTCTGCTACAAATTTGTTTCAGGAGACGGATGTGAGAACTGCATAGCCACTGCATCACAGGACATCAAAAGGCTTTGTTCAAACACAAGTGATGCAGCTGTATGGGAAGAGGTGTGCCAATTGCGCTACTCTTACCAAAGGTTCTTTGGCGAATTGGATGTTACAGGTAACATCCCTAGAAATAACACGAAAAATGTCACAGAACCAGACCGGTTTAGGTCTGTCCTGAATGACACATTGCGTAACCTCACCAAGCTGGCAGCTTTCGATCCTTCTATGGGTATGTATGCTACTGGAGAAGTAAATTTTACAGACACCGACACCATATATGCTCTGGTGCAGTGCACTACAGAATTGTCTCAAGATAACTGTAGTACATGCCTTGAAACTGCGATAACGAACCTTTCAAGTTGCTGCCCTTTTGCTCGAGGAGCCAGACTTCTTAGCCGGAGTTGCTTTTTGAGGTATGAGTTCTATGCTTTCTATGAAGGCGCGACTGAATTTCCTAATTCAACTCGAATTCAGAGTACAGTGTCAAGTAAGTACTCCTAAATCTTAAAATAAGGTCAATTATATAGTAGGCTGCAAATTGAGTAATATATTTCATTCTGAAAGCAGGCGGTGGATGGAAGAAATGGATGACTGTGGTTCTTGCTATTGGATCAGCAATTTTAGTGGTTGCACTTTTGGGATTATGTATCTACTGCTTTAAAAAGAGGAATGGAACTAAAAAAGGTAAAAGGTGATAGTTTTTCAAGTTTTTTATATACTATCTCTATTTATTTTTTCTTTTCGTTAAAATAACCTTTTAATCATTTCAGTGAGAAACAAGAATTTTGTTCAAGAAGTTCAATTATGTGACGGTGGCCACCCCCATAACACTGAGCTGTGGCATCAAAATTTGCAAGCAAGGGACAATCTCAGATCTCAGGAATTTCCCTTTTTCAATTTGGCGACTATAAATGTTGCTACTGATGGCTTCTCTGATTCAAATAAGCTTGGGCAAGGTGGTTTTGGACCCGTTTACAAGGTATAGCATTTCTCACCACAGCCAAAATAATAATAATAATAATAAAAGTAAGAATGACTTTTCTTAATTTCTAATCAATGGGTAAATATTCTCAATTGGATTGGGAAATTAATGTTTGGAAACTGGTTTATCATTCTTTTAGGGTATACTACCAGATGGGAAGGAAGTAGCAGTAAAGAGACTCTCAAGCAATTCTGAGCAAGGTTCAGATGAATTCATAAATGAAGTTCTGTTAATACTGAAACTTCAGCACAATAGTCTTGTGAGACTCTTGGGTTTTTGCCTAGATGGACAGGAAATGCTGCTCATCTATGAATACATGCCCCAAGGCAGCCTAGATGTCTTGCTGTTTGGTCCGTCTTCTTCTTTCTTTTTCTGTCTCAATTTTCAACTTGAGAATTGCAATGTTTAACCATACATATTTGTTGAGCTAAATATGAAGTCCAAGCCACAAAATTCATTTGTACTTTTTATGGACAGATTCAAGAAAACGCGCACAACTCAACTGGAGCAAACGACTAAATATTATTAATGGAATTGCCAGGGGAATCCTTTATCTTCATGAGGATTCTCGACTTAGAATCATTCACAGGGACCTAAAAGCTAGCAATGTTTTACTAGACATTGACATGAATCCAAAGATCTCAGACTTTGGAATGGCAAGGATATTTGGAGGAAGTGATGGTGAAGCTAGTACTGCTAAGATTGTTGGAACATAGTAAGTCAAATTATACAATATATTTATATATTTTTTAAGGGGTGTTTTTATATTGTTGTCTTTTTAAATCTTATAATTTTTTTGTTCCATGGACAGTGGATATATGGCTCCTGAGTATGCTATGGAAGGACTATATTCCATAAAATCTGATGTTTTCAGCTTCGGAGTTCTCTTGCTTGAGATCATTACTGGCAGAAGGAATGCCGGATTCCATCTCTCCAAACGCGCCCCTAGCCTTCTAGCATATGTATATCTTTTATCATTGACTTTAATTCAAAATGATTTTTGGTTTACAATTTTTTGCTTAAATTAATGATCTAATGATACCAACAAGCCAGTGACGTAACTGTATCGAAGGAAAGTTAGGGATTTAAATCTCAGTGGAGACGTGTGTGTGAGTACCAACTAAGGGGAAAAAAAAATAATGATCTAATGAAAACTTTTTAATGGCGCAGGCATGGCAATTATGGAATGAAGGAAGAGGCCTAGAACTGATGGATCCTTTATTGATGGATTCATGTTGCCCACCTGATGAATTTCTGAGATGCATGCATGTTGGACTATTGTGTGTTCAAGAGGACTCGTACGAAAGGCCTACCATGTCATATGTTGTTGTCATGCTCAAAAGTGAAACTGTAATTCTTAGCCCACCTGAAAGACCTGCCTTCTCCGTGGGGCGATTTGCAGATCACTATGAAGCACTTGAGAACATTTGTTCTGTTAATCTTTTGACACTTTCAAATATCATACCTCGGTGAAGGAGCTCTTGAACTGGTTGAACTTGACTATGACTTGATGTGAGAGCTAGTGTTGGACCTTGTATTTAGTTTCAATTATTTGTTTCTTCAATATTGTGTATTCTTTCGTTTTATTCTAGTTATTTCAAAGATGTCTTCTTTCCTTTGAAATTCAATATCACTATTCTTTCATTTCTTCTTCTCCCAATGAAATTCAAACTCTGATTGATATTACATCAGAAAAGCAGAAGAAAAATGGCTTGTTTACATCACCAACCTTAGAAGAAAAAATATTATGATTGTTGCATCCATTTTCTTCAAATATATATATATATACATTCAAAAGGCTTCTGGCCAATTTGATGTCAGCCAAATTTTGTGGACTCTGGCTAGCGGATTAGGACCCTGTTATGTTCCCTCTTTTTGTCCCGTGTCATTCTTTGCCTTCTTGTTGACAAATGTAACAACTTTAAATCGATTATGCAATTATTACCTAATGATATTATAATTCTTAATTTAATAGCATTAAAGTGTTACACCACGATATAATATGTTGTATCAATATTACATTTTAATGTAAACTTGTTACATGGTATTATATTTTTGTTATACAAGTGTTGCATATATGATGTACTGTTGCATTACATGTGATGTAATGTGTTACACTCAATAGTGGCACGTGACACAGAATAGGTGAAGAGCAGGACAGGCTCTATCTGAATGCCTGACTATACATGCAAATAGGTCTCTATTAAGACAAATTGCTAACCTACAAAAATTGTCAATTGGCCTACTAGTTGAGTTATATATTATACATAAAGAGATAAAAACCCACGTGTTTTTATCAAAAACTATCTGTTTTATGCTAATTAACAAACCAAAAGGAGGTCATCTGGCCTGCAAGCTGAGACAATCTTTAATATAACATTGTACCAATGAAATGCATATCCCAATGTATGTATTATTTTTTTCATATTCACGATAGATTCCATAACTTGGATCACCATCTACACCCTCATTGAACCAACCGGGTAGCAATATAACTTGGAAGGTGATTCCCCGTTGCCTCACATTTTTCTAATCAAAACATTCATTTTCATAGAACGCGATCCCATGTTCAAATCCCATAGTTTTTCAAAACGCGTTTATATAAATAGAAGGCATGTCTCTTATATATATATATATATATATATATATATATATATATATATTTTTTCTAATTGGTACTCACACACACTTGTCTCTTTTGAGACTTGAACCCCTGACCTCTCTTTAGAAAGTAAGAGGTTGATACCGCTAGGCCGCTGGCCCGTTGCATAGACATACTTTGAGAACAATAAACGCTTGTGTAGTGGCAAAATGGACAATATTTGCACAGTATGAGGCTCCACAAGACTCGTGCAAGATGCCACTCACACAGATCGGGTAAAACTTGTACTATGTCTTTAGATTTGATATTAATGAGACATTAGTGCCCAAATCTTTTTCAATTGGGCCAATCTCTTGAGGTTGGTCCAAAGTCGTGGCACATAAGATTTGATATTCATGAGATACTAGTTTCGAAATAAACTAAGTCAATCTTTTGAGGTTTATATAATATAATTTTAAAAAATATTTGTTTAATTTTTTTTTCGATAATCGAGGTGTCCGGGATTATGCCTTAACTAATTTACGGGTCTCATGTAATACGAATAGGGTAAAATTCAGACCATATCCATGGTTATGGCCTCTAACAAATTGATCATACTCGGAATAATTAGAACCTAAAACTTAGTATTTCATGTCCCAAGATTTCATCACACAGCCAACTCCTTGAGGTTGTTACATAGTTAATTATACAACCCATTACTTATGGAAAAACTAAAACATTTACACAATAGTTACATGGCAGCATAGCTTTACTAGGAAATGAGTTGTCTGACGTAGGATAAACTAGCGTCAGTGGTTATTTTGATTAAGTCAAGAGTTTCAATAAACTGGCGTTTACTTTTGCTATTGAACCATATTGTTGCCAAATGAGTCATGAAAATGTCATTTAAATTTTAAATAGCTAATTTGCATTGTTATTCGTGTAATAACTACTTTAATTTTGATTTTTAATCACCAAGTCCACCCACATATGCGTCCCATAACACCTTAATTTCTTCGCACGCTGCATTATGTGTTATTCAAAGTAACGTGTCATACCATGAATCTTTTGACTTCTCTCTTCACGTAAAACACGATGATTTTATTTTATTTATTTTTACTTGCCCATGTTGAAATCAATGAGCCATTTCTTGTTTGGTCACTTTCCTTGAAAGGCATATATGGTTTTAAATTCCACTAAAACTTTACAGTCAAAATAAACTATACATAAATTTTGAAAACAATATTATAAAAGATTATTGACTCCATGCATGCAAGAGAATCTCGTGAAAAGTCTTATGACAATGGATTTTGAAAGATTTCATATATATATATTATTTTCTTTCTAATCACCATTCTTAAGAAAAATTATTAAGTAGTTTAAAATCATGTGGTTTCAATCAGACATATATTCAAATGTGTCAGTTTTATATATATATATTTATTTATTTTTTTTTGCTCATGTCCACCTCGTGACTGAAAAAATATCCATATAATAGGGGTCTTTACTATGTGATACCCGGTTAATGCACAATCATGATTTTTTTCTTGAAAATTTCATATTTCTTAATTATGTATCCAGACAACTTAAGAGTTTCGATGACCGTCTATTGACCGGATACCATGTATAAAGTATCCCGAAGTATTGGATACTTTCTCCATTCCCACTACCTAATCATACAGCAAACACAGTCCCCCCTTAAGTTTCAGTCTTTTCCAACCGGTTCCAAGCACCAATATGGAGGTTTCTGGGTAATTTTGTTTCGTTTTACTGAATCCAAACTTGGGGGAACTGCTAACGGTCCGTCAAGTTTCAAATATATATTGTTGCTTTTGGGGTGGTAAAGTTGGGAAAAATGTGCTCTCAAACTAGAAAGGTTGTCAAAGACGCACTTTTAGCTATGCTTCTCTTAATGCTACTCCTCTTGGTGCTGTCTACCCATGTTAGTGCAGAACCTCATTTTACATCTTGTCAATATGATACAATTTTTATGAATTATACACTCAATAGCCCATTTGAAACAAACCTCAAACGCCTTCTTGAGACCCTATCCTCCAACACTCATCTAAATGAGGGCTTTTATAACACCTCAATCGGAAATGACAATAACCAAGTCTACGGGCAAGCGCTTTGTAGAGGGGATGTCACTCCCAGGGTTTGTCAGGAGTGTGTTGCGAATGCAAGCCAAGAGATCATGAGGGAGTGCAGAAGTGTAGCTGCATTTATATGGTACGAATCATGCCAAATTCAGTACTCGTACCGCGAGTTCTTTTCCACCATGATTTACGCGGGAAAGTATCCAGATTCGAATGATCCGGAGAAGAATGTGTCGGAGCCAGTTCAGTTCAATGCAGCTGTGACGAGCCTGATGAAAAGCCTTTCGAATGAGGCTGCATTTGGTGGTCCTTCTAAGCTCATGTTTGCAACTGGAAACACCTTTTCAGGGACGAAAACAATATATGGGCTGGTACAGTGTACGAGGGACATCTCTCCCAGTGACTGCAGTATTTGTTTGGATTTTGCGTTGAAGGATCTTGATGCATGTTGCAATTCTCGTCAAGGTGGAACTGTTTTTAGCAGGAATTGTAATGTGAGGTTCGAGGTGTACCGCTTTTTTGATGAGTCGACCCGCAATGGTAACATCATCCAAACTGTTCCTTGTCATTCGTATCATACTGTACACTTTGTAGGCACCTAAGTAACCTACCACCCTAGAATCTAGGCATGACACGACAAATTATGAGATGGTCGAACAGCTTGTGGCCGGGTCCAATAAAAAAAGTTATCAATTAAAAAAAATGAATCTAAAAAATTATAATAGGATATTACAAGAAATTTGAATTTAATTATGGCTCATGCCCATTTACTAATTTTTTTCATGATCACGTGTCTGCTTTTGCTTGGCTTGCCAGCCATGAAAGCCACGATGTAAGCATCCATCATGATGAGCATTCATGTGCCTCTAAGACATTGCTACGGGCTCGAGGCCATCCATGACCAATATACAGTACTTATGCATGCGTATACATTCATCCACAATGTCTCTCTTATACTCTATCTATTTCATAATATTTGTCCAGTTTTCAAAGTAGACAAGTATTATGGGACATGAAGCGTATTTTTTAATCAGTATATAATCATTAAAGTGATCGGTTCATCCATACTGCCATTCCGTTTTGTTGTAGGCTTTCTTGTGCGATTTTTTCTAATTTGATCTCATTATCGATCCATTTTAGAAGCGTTCTCCTATTGAGACTTGGTGAGTTCTCGGAGACCTTAACTGATAGAGCATACAAGAGGCGAATGTTACTGCCTTTTCTTGCCTGAGAGTGACATCCCTTTTCTTTCCGGTTGAATTGCATAAGAATTTCAACCAAATTTTGGATGGGCATACACCTTCTTGACCTTTGCACTATGTATTTGACAACTCTGTTTTCTTTTGGTTTTCTTTTTGTTTTTGTTGTTTTGTTCTGATTTGATATGTTTTGAATTTGGATTAGATTTAGACACCTGGATGTCCATTTTTATTTATTTTTTTATTTTTTATTTTTTATTTTTTTATGCTTACTTTTTTTCACGTTGAATAGCAGCAGAATATCATGACATCATTATGCTTGTCTTTATCCCATGTGAATGAAATATTCCATTTATGTGAAATAATAAAGTCCCCAAAACACCGTTTATCACAATCCTACTAAAATTTGAAAAAAAAAAAAAAAATAAGAAAAAAAAAAGAAGAAGCATTTAATTTTATTTCAGTTACTAAAAATGTTGCCACTTGTGACCAGCATCATTAACTTCAAATTTTTTTTTTCTTTCCAGAAAGTATATAGTGAATTGGAATTGAAACCAAACGTTTTAAAATTGAAAAGCAGGGGATAAATGGAGGATTTGGGTTTCTGTAGCAGTACCTCTTGTATCAGCTATTGTGCTAGCAGTATTAATCAGCTATTCCGTGTCTCGTCGCAGACGGAGAAGGAAGACAACCCAAAAAGGTATATTTGTCAAAATGTGCATTTGCCTAACAATATCAATATCAGAGCTACCATAACTGAAACTCTAGTCTCTCACAGATGAGGAAAAAAGCGAAAATGCTTTGCTACATGATTTGGCAACCCGAAGAGGCGTTGCAATTACACATGAAGATGACTTAGTTGGCTCTCAGGGATTGCCCTTCATGGACTTGGCCACAATAATAGCAGCTGCAGACAACTTTTCCGATTCAAATAAGCTTGGACAAGGTGGTTTTGGCAGCGTTTACAAGGTAAAAACCTTTCGAGTTTAAAAAGATTCTAAGTACTGTTTGACAGGTCTTAATTCAAATTTGATTAAGAAATATTCAAGTGGAGTCTCTTCAGGGTGTGCTACCAAGTGGGAAAGAAATAGCAGTTAAGAGGCTGTCAAGGAAATCATGGCAAGGAATAAAGGAGTTCAAGAATGAGGTCATATTGATTGCTAAACTTCAACATAGAAACCTCGTGAGACTCGTGGGATGTGGCATTGAGGGAGAAGAAAAGCTGCTTGTGTATGAGTACATGCCCAACAAAAGTCTTGATATCTTCTTATTTGGTTTGCCCCTTTTCTCTTCTGTTCCATTAACTTACTCATGGTCCTATTCTCACTTTTTCTGAATTCCAAATATGGAATGCAAGACGGATGTTGTGGGTGTGGTCTACCATTTCACATCTCTCTCCCACGATTGAATTTGGAGTTTGTATCATTATTCAAAAGAAAATTAAATATTTTAAGCATGATTTTATTGATTTTTCATATTGTATGAATATTCAGATTCAACAAAACGCTCACAACTTGATTGGGAAACGCGTCATAATATTATTTGTGGAATTGCCCGAGGAATTCTTTATCTTCATGAGGACTCCAGGCTAAAAATTATACATAGGGACCTGAAGCCTAGCAATGTTCTGTTGGACCATGAAATGGTTGCAAAGATTTCGGATTTTGGAATGGCGAGGATTTTCTGTGAAAACGAAAATACAGCTAACACCAAAAGAATTGTAGGAACATAGTAAGTCTGCTCCTCCTTATATCAGTCCACTGTGTCATGCAATTTAAAAAAAAAACAACAACAACAACAACAAGACGGAGCCATAATTAAGCTACTTCTTTATGCAGTGGATACATGGCTCCAGAGTATGCAATGGAGGGACTATTTTCAGTGAAATCTGATGTCTTTAGTTTCGGAGTAATCTTGCTTGAGATCATAACTGGGAGAAAGAATAGTGGCTTTCAGAGAACCGGACATGCTCATACTCTTCTTGCATACGTATGTTTTTCAATCCGCTTACATAGTAAGTATATTAATTTCATCTAAATTATCAAATCTTGGAAATTGATGTTTTCCCAAACTGACAGGCTTGGAGACTCTGGAATGAAGAAAGAGAATTGGAACTTATAGATCCCTTGTTGACTGAATCATGCCCCACGGAGGAAGTTGTAAGATGCATTCATATCGCGCTCTTATGCGTTCAGGAAAATCCAGCAGACAGGCCTACTATGTCATCTGTAGTTGTTCTTTTGGGAAGTGAATCAATAACACTTCCGGAACCAACACAACCTGCATTTTCCGCAGGGAGAATTCAAATTGAGCAGCCTTCATCAACAGATCCTCCAGTAAATCAGCTTAGCCTTTTTAGTACATTGCCGCAGTAAGTGTTGACTCTTCAAATCGTGGCACAAGTGTGATTGTAAGATTGAACTAAAGTCTAACCGAATATGGCTCTTGCCGAAATTTTGAATCATTTTTAGTTCCATTTTGGCTAGACAGTCAACAATTTTTTTCTTCAATATTGTTGAAGATATCTCTGTTAGAGAGATAAATTTGTTTGTTTAAAAAGTAGGCGACAAAATGTCAACCAACCAAATTCCAGAGGGATGGTGGATTTCCACTTCAATTGCGACAAAAATCCATTTCTTTATCAATAGGGATGGTGGATTTCCACTCCAATTGTGACAAAAATCCATTTCTTTATCGAGAGGGAGGGTGGATTTCCACTCCAATTGTGACAAAAACCATTTTCATTGACTTGGGAGTTTGTTGAAAATTTGACAAGGAATTATTAACACGATATTCGCTTTTGTGGTGTTTTTGGTTATTAGAGATGTTTGTGCTTGTATGGCTGGTGAAAAGGGTGATGGAGTGTGAAGATGACGAAATAAGGTAAGAAGACAAGGGGTAATTTTGTCCTTTCAAAATGGTCATATTGATCACTTTAGATGATTTACATGGGTAAGTTTGTCATTTCATTATGCAGAACGGTATTTTGGTATTTAAAAAATATCTAACAGCAGGCTTATTGGCTTAACAGTTCCCTATTGGCTTGGGGGCTAGCAGTTAGTTTACCCTAACTGTAGTTTTGACTAAAGCTTAATTAGGGTGAAGTTTGAAACCTAATTAATTAATTAATTATTTTCATGATGTTGCATTTGGTAAAATTAATCCTAATTTATCAATAAATGTTTCTTTTCTCGCCTCACGAAAGCTTAACCCATCATAGTACATTTCATGTGCTGACACTAACTGTCAATTGTGGCCATAGAACTGAAAGCTGGAAAATTAATTGTATAACACTCGGGATAAAGCATGAGAAAACAAAAAATTATGGTAACCATTATTAATTCATGAAAATATTTAAACTATTCTCACCCACTAATTTCTTGATGCATTGATTGTGTGATCTAAGAAACACGGATATAGATACAGGTGCAAAATAGGATATATATATATAAAAAAAAAATAGGATTTGGATACACTGAAATATGACAAAAATTTATAATAATAAAAGTATTTTTTATATTTAAAAAAAAAAGTTATTAACTTCGTGTAATATTATGAATCAAAATACAATTATTAGTATAATATAATAGTTCATTCACAACACATAAACCAAATATCCCTATTAATTATTTAATTAATATTACATTTTTCATAATAATTATATTATGTTATTATTGTTAAAAAATTATTTAAAAAATATTGAATGTGTTAAATATTTAAAAAGTATCATGTTAAAAATTAAAAAATATATATATATTAAAATTATAAATACATTTGGATGCATATTCACGAATATCTGAAAAGTATGATATGATATTTGATGGTATCCAATATGAATACGTGATTCTCCTAAAAAGTACGTGTACTTCTAAAGTTGTGTGACCCACGTCATCCTGTTAACCTAGTGGGAATAATGGATCTACCTTTTGGCCAAACAAGGTTTTGCTTCTCCAGTACTCTATGTTCACATCATTTTCTACTGGCACAGCAAAAATTAAAGTGACGACTTTATTGACTGCCAGGAATGTCTTTTTCACCGTCCAGCTGATCTCTTCTAGAATCGGGCTACTCCCAAAGGTTATAATTCAAGGAGATTGCAAAAATGTTACAAGTGAAGGAGATTGCAAGCACGTGTAATTTGGTAGCTCATGAAATACGGTAACGAGTCCTCTAGTGTACTTAAAGTCATAACTGTTATGTTCTAAGTCACACAATTCTTTTTAATAAGTGTCGTTTTTACGTTCTGCGCATAATCTCATTTTCGTTTACGCTATATGTGACTTAAATTTTGCCGCTATAGCTCTCAAATTCGCTCTAATTTCCTTACTCGCTTTATGTGACTTAAATTATGCTCAGCTTGGTAACAAAGAAAATTAGATAGAAGGAAAAAGAATGAATGGATAAGACATTCTAAAAAAAGGATAAATGTCATTCTATCTTTTTATTTGGTTGGATGAAATTAAGAGAAGGAAAAAAGATAACACCTTACTTTGTTTGTTATGAGAAAAGGAAAGAGAAAATGCTAATATTGAGTTAATTAATAATTAAATAAAAGAAGAGATGATACCATATGAATTACGAGATGGGTGATGATTTTATTTTCCTTAGCTATATCTGAATTTAGTAAAATGATAATTTCTTTGACTTAAAATAAACCGTGCAGGATAAGGAAAGAAAAAGGTCTAAAAGATTATAATATCACGTTTACTTCACGAGTCGCATGAATGCGTGATAAACAACATATTTGAATGGTCATGTATGGTTGATATCTCATTTTCAACTATAAATTGAAGTGTAAGAGAGAATAGATATTTTTCTCTTCCGACCACAGATTCAAAATGGAAGAGAAAGTGATGGGCCTACCCGTATGCAGTGGTAGGTCTCACACCACTTTCCATTCAGTCTGAACCACATTCAAATCTGTACAATATGTTCACAACTCCTTAACAAGAAACAGCTTTGGAGTGATCACAAACTAATTGTAGTAATTAAGAATTTCATTTTCACCACAATGATTTCCTTCAATATCCTCAGAACACATCTCTTTCTTTGCATCCCTTGCTTGCTTGGCCTCTCCATTGAAAAAGTTAGCTCTAATATTCCTTATTATTACTGCTCAAACACAACCAATAACACTTCTCTTAACACCACCTATCAAGCCAATCTCAATCACCTCCTCTCTACACTCTCTAATGCCAGCACAGCCAACAGATTCTATAACTCTTCTGCTGGCCATGACCGTTCCAACAAAGCTTACGGCCTCTTCCTTTGTCGCGGGGATGCCACTCCCGAGTTGTGCCAGGATTGTGTGGTCAATGCAGAGAGAGAGATAGTACAGATGTGCCCAAATGGAGAAATGGCTCAAATTTGGAAAGACAGGTGCTTGTTACGTTACTCGAACCAATTCATCTTCTCAAGATCAGAACATGTGTGCAACACGCAGAATGTCACTGAAGCAGAGAGATTTAGGCAGGAGTTAGGAGACATATTGGAAGACTTGGCTACTCAGGCTGCAAATGATCAGTCTGGTATGAAGTTTGCTACTAAGATAACCAAATTCATGGCACAAGATCTGTACAGCCTTGCACAATGCACACCAGATCTATCCGTTGCTGATTGCTATAAGTGCCTTCGAGAAGTTACCTCGTATATGACAAGTCACTGTGAGGGAAGCAGAGGGGCAAGAGTTTTGTTTCCGAGCTGTAATATTTGGTACGAGTTTTATAGGTTCTATTGGATCACAGGCAGCCAAGTTCCTTCTCGAGGTATAAATCATCATCCAACTTGCACATCTTTTCTGCATACTTGCAAATCTTGTTATAAATAACCCCAAGATCTCACTCGAATTCTCTCTCTTTCTCTTCACGCTTTTCTTATCACACCATATTCTCTCAACCTCACTTCTATTTTCAATTATAATTTCTTGTCAAACAACAATTCCGCAACTTGTCTACCAACGAGTTACCAAAACAATCACCAACTCTAAAACTAGAAGCATCTTAGTGAGAAACAATTTCCTTCACAAGTCTAGGTCTTTTGGAAAGTCCCAAATGAGAAACAGAGATTTAAAAAAAAAATGTTTTTCAAACTATTGAGTTTGAATGTGAGTTTTATACTTTCACTTGAGCGGACGGAAATTTTATAGAGTAAATTTAGTTCAATAACTCTACTTCTTTTCACTATGAATAGAGAATCAATTATAAAGAAGCACTTTTGATTTGCATAGAATGAAGAAATTTTTGGTTGATGCAGGAAAAGATGGAATCAGTACAGCAGTAATAATTGTAGCCATTGTTGTTGCAATAATTGTCATGGCGGTGCTCTTTTCCACTGGCTTCTGGTGCAAAATGCGGAAAGCAAGGAAGAGGGACAGTTATATAAGAAAAAAGAATGGTTAGTAATCGCAACTACAAATATATGTGAACTATTTGTTTTGTAGTGGTCGCAACTACAAATATCAGTACATTTAACTTTATGGTTTACTTTATGGTTGTGTAGTTGCATATGAGATAGAAACTGTGCAGTCCATGCAATATGATTTGGGAACCATCAAAGCAGCAACAAAAGACTTCTCTGACGATAACAAAATTGGTGAAGGTGGATTTGGTGCTGTCTACAAAGTAAGAGCAAGTTAGTTCTGATACATGGGCTTCAAGAATGCAATATACAATTCCAAAATTTCAGATGTTTCTGAAATTTTGGAACTAAATGTTTTAGATTGAAATTTCATTCTTTATCTACATACTCAGGGTACACTTCCTTACAACGGACAAGAGATAGCTGTGAAGAGGCTATCTAGAAGCTCTGTGCAAGGTGCAATGGAGTTTAGGAATGAGGTTGCATTGGTAGCCAAATTACAACACAGAAATCTAGTGAGGCTGCTGGGATTTTGCTTGGAAGGAGAAGAAAAGATACTCGTGTATGAATTCGTTCCAAACAAAAGCCTTGACTACTTTCTATTTGGTATGGACTATCTCAACACATATAAGTACAATTTAGTGCACGAGGCGCTTGCCATTGTGAGGTCTTAGAAAGAGCATATATTACACTCTAAATTACTACTAAAATCATGTGCTTAGGGATAGTAACTTTATCTTTACAGTAGTATGTGCTCTGACTAGTCCCTATCAGAATGAATAGGATTGATTTCTAGTCGACGTAGGGATGAGTTTGTTGAGAAGATTACTGAAAAGCTGCTTTGTCCTTAACGATTCTCATTAGTAATACACAGCATCTGTCACAAACGTTTTTATTTCTGTTCTTTTATGATTTTTGAAAATTCCTATTACAAATTTGAGAATTTGATTTAGGTTGTGTTTGGTAACTTGAATGGATTTGAAATACCTAGATTTCCAGATTTGTTCTTTGTATATAATGAAGTGCTTTGGAGCATTTCGAGTTCTAAAACTTCAGACATTTGTCCTTAACAAAAACATAAATAATTAATCACATACATTTGTGTCTTTTGAATATGCCTGATTGATGGAATTGTACCGCATTATAATTCTGTGATATAAATAATAGTCCTTGATATAAATAATAGTCCTTGATGCTAGCTTGACTATCAATGTGTAGATCCGGAAACAGGAAAACAATTGGATTGGCCAACACGTTACAAGATTATAGGAGGCATGGCTAAAGGAATTCTTTATCTTCATGAAGATTCTCGACTAAGAATTATACATCGTGATCTAAAAGCTAGCAATATACTATTAGATTTGGAAATGAATCCAAAAATTTCAGATTTTGGAATGGCGAGAATCTTTGGCGTGGATCAAACTCAAGGGAAGACAACTAAAATTGCTGGAACATAGTAAGTTCTGAAGCCTTCCATTTACTGCATCTATTTTTCCCTAGCCTAAATGAATGAAATTATAATTGTCTGATCTCAATTGAAACTTTTAAGGAGGAAAAGGGAGGGAAGCATATAAAAATTTCACTCTTCAGAAACTTCATCAACTTGGACAAAACGAATTTTCTTGTTGTGTTCTTACTTTTGTTTCCATGATGGTGTTGGCTTGCAGTGGTTACATGTCTCCAGAGTACGCAATGCATGGAAAATTCTCCATAAAGTCAGATGTGTTTAGCTTCGGTGTCTCAATATTGGAGATTATAAGTGGCAAGAAAAACAGTAATTTCTTCCAATTAGACAGTAATGCTGAGGACCTTCTGAGCTATGTAAGTGCAAATTAAAAGTTGCGATTGGTAATTTTCTTAGTCAATGCCAATATATTCATCTCAAATTACCTATATTCTAAATGACTTGAGATATTAATTGTGTCACAGGCTTGGAAACAATGGAGAGAAGGGACACCCGTGGCATTGATGGATCAAACTCTTGCAGATTCTTATTCAAAGCATGAAGTCATTAGATGCATCCATATTGGGTTATTGTGTGTTCAAGAAGATGTGGATGCTAGGCCTTCTATGGCATCTATACTTTTCATGCTCAACAGTGACTCGGTTACTCTACCATTGCCTCAACAACCTCCATTCATTGTTCATAGCAAAACAGAGTTGGGCATTCCAAATGTGTTTGAGCCGTGGTCTTTGAATGTTACAAGCTCATGCAATCAGGGAAGGGTATTTTGAGAAATGAAAAAACAAATGTATTTTTACTGTAATGGTTTATACTCAATCTGATATTGCTGTATAGCGTACAACATTTGTTATAGTTACATGAAAGCTGACCTTAGATTTAAGTGCAAGAGAAGTAATCAATATGGCCAATTCTATATTTGATCCGTTTTGGCCTCCAAAATTAGTTGTGGTCTCCAAGCTTGAAGATTTGGTTGGGCATGTGTTTGACAAATGGACTAGGCAATGTTCAGACCAGACTCGTCATTGACTAGTCAAGCTCCGGCTCCGCTCGTGTTAAGCTCATTTATATATAAATATGTAACTATATGTATAAAACCACACATCATATGTATATATCTAGTATATACACAGAAAAATATATTGATACAGATTTGATAGATATTCAAATATATTTATATATACATATAGAGGATGAAAGATATCTTGCTCCGCGGTGCCGCGATCTCCATCAACCTTTGTTTTTTCAACCACCAACGATCGTCGTCTGTAATCTGTCTGGCGAAATATGGCATTTGCAGATCATTTTCAAAGTTGCGCAAAGATGAAAAGAAAAGAGAAAATATGAGCGATATAATAGATTTGAGCAATCACTCTGTAACGACCCGAAAAGATACTAAAATAATAATAAAATCTATAAAAATTTCGGCATGACTTCTACAAAAAATGTCCCTCTACAACCTATTAAAATACATAAATAGACGCAATAGCCTCATTAGGCTTAAAAATAACATATCATGTCCCAACGCACAGTATAAGTATTACATCACATTCCCAAAATAATTACATACATACCAAAAATTCCCTTCCACCACTTTATCTAAACAGAAACACATTTTAGTTATATCAAGTTACAGTCCATAAAATGTAGTTAGAATTTAAAAGTCCATAGCTTAAAACATAATATCCATTAAACTAGAGTTTCACCAAATAGTTAAGAGTACATTACAAAATATTAAGGTTCTAATACAAAAGATAGCAAAATAAAATGGGTCTTCAAGCTCATCTAAACCTGTGGTGGATCGTCGTCTACCACCTCTTTTCCATGTCCTGAAAAGTGTTAAAAATAAGAGGGTGAGCATAAACTTAGTAGGAAGTGTCTAAAACATACTTCTTATATCCCCGTGAATCCCACACAAAGAATGGATAAAAAAGGACGGAGTCATACCATGGGAAAAACATAATCTCAATCACAACAACAAGCATAGTATAAATAACATCCAACCACAAATTTCCCACATGTACCATGAAGTGCAATGTCATGCCTATGCCACTCCCCGTTTCTGAAACAATTCTGTTTCAACAACCAAACCGTTAGTGTAATCCGACCCAAAGTACCTCCAATGTGTCACGAAATGAAGGTTGGTTAACTATCCACGATCACAAGGCACCTCCAAGGCGTCGCATCCAGCCTAGTTAACTCAACTACATTCCCTTTTAGACTACACCAACATCACGGACCACTAGTCGCCTCCTAGGCGTTCGGTTTTCGCAACACTTTTAGAAAATATTTTCCCCAAAATAATTTCGTTTGTTCTAAAAATATTTTTCCCCCTTTCTCTTTCCCAATGAATGCATGAATGTGTGTGTTTCAATTTATCAATTCAACTATAGGCTTTCACACATTCTATTTACATCATCATCACAATTCAATAAGAATTTTTAAATATTCATTTTATTTTATTTATTTATTTATAACCATAGCATCAATTTTTTTCAAGGCAATAAATAAATAAATAAACAATCATGGAACATACAACATATCAAACACTAAGTATGCTCATTTACCTTAATGAAAATAGACATGTATATGAACTCAATTAATACATGGAATACATTTATCATTTTAATTACACATAACTATAGCAACAACAAGCTAGGTAATTCAAAATTTAGCATGCTTAGGATCAGATTTAAGAGAAAAAAATTCACAAAAGGCCAAGAAGTTATAGATTAGAACACCCCTACCTCAAATTGATGAAAACCCCCAATTTGAGCGCAAGAACCCTAAAATTTCGAACTCCCTAGAGTGCACCAAAACTGACATTGTTGGTACTCACACGTAAATCTCGCCGTGCTTTTCGATTTGCCACAAACGGCACCCAAAAATTCCAAGTATGGAAGGAGGAATCAAAGCTTGAAATTGGAAAAGAAAAAAAAAAAGAAAAGAAAATGGAAGCTTCTGGACGAGACGCAGAGAGAGAGAAACGGGTTTGTGTAATGGCCTTATGGCCTTTGTGATGTTTTTAATATATTGGTGGGACCCACTTGCTTTTTAAAAAAATCTTTATAACTTTAATATATATATATATATATAATCATACCCATTACATTCTCCCTAACTTTAAAAGATTTCGTTTTCGAAATCAAGCCATACATAAGGTAGAAAACAACTCTGGATACATGGAGCGAACCTCCTCTTCGAGTTCCCAAGTAGCCTCATCTACTCCGTGATGTCTCCAAAGAACCTTTACTAAAGGTATTGTCTTTTTCCTCAACACCTTCTGCTATGTGTCAAGGATCTGAATTGGTTTGTAACGACCCGGTTATTTGCCCACCTTTCCTTTTTCCTGAAATTTTACGAATGAATTTTTTTTGTTTAATTTTCTTTTCTGAGCTCTGTTTCGTGTCGCTTAGTGTCATTTCGAGTGCTCGGAATTGGTTTTTGAGACTCTTTTATGTGAATTGACAACTTCCTTTGAGGACCGAGTCATTTTCACATTTTCACATTTTCACTTTTCTAACACTATGCACTATTTCGTCCTTTTCCCTATTCTGTCTTTTCCCCATTTGTCACATTGTTGGCATAACCTCACTTCTCATACTCGGAGTTGGTTTTTGACTTCACGTGCCTTCATCTTGAGTGGTTTCCTCGAAATACGTATCTTTACTTTTACAAAAAGGTACTCTAGTTGCTCCCGGTACCCATAGGGACATGGATCAGAATCTTTTTCATTTCTTGGACTGTTTTTCGTAAATATCTTTTTAAGATATTATATTTCGGGGGTATCTAAGAAAATATCTTTTGGAAGATATTTTCATTCTGTGGCAGTTTCGCAATTAACCCTTTTTGTAGGGGTCATTGCAAAATACCTCGTCTAAAGCCTAGATCCTCGTACGGGATTCATTTTCACATTTCGTCGAGTCGTGGACTCTTAGAATTCCATTCTGGTCGTTTTTCTCCAGTTTTAGAGTTTCTGGACCCGGTTGCCGCCGAACTTGTTCGAGGTATAACTTTCTGCTCGGGACTCAGTTTTTGACGCCGTTTCTTCCTTTGTTCATATTTTCTTATTTTAAATCTTTTTCATTCATAGAGTTTTGCCATTTGAGCTAGTTTGCTCAAAATCCACTTTTCCGGACTCGGTGGGGCCCTTTCGGGGTACTTTTTGATATTTCTATAAATAGGTTGCCCTAATTTTTAAAATGAGATTTTCAAACCTTCTTCTTCCTCTTGGCCGGCAGCCATGGGAGCCCAAGGGGCTGCCTTCACTCTTTCTTCTCCTCCACTTGATTTCTTTGGTAGAAATCCTTCGGCCTTAGCATTTGTTGTTCCCCTTGTCGTGCTCTATCTTTCCCCCTTATTAGAATTCATTTCTGACCATTTCTTGAGTTTAGGCTTGAGGTCAAGTTGTGATTTTCATGAGGCTTCTTGGGTATTCATGTAGATCGTGTTGTCCCCGACAAAAACTTTCGATTTCGGCAGATTCGGAACACTTTTCTTCCGATGGGGATTTGAGATTTTTATCTCAAATTGAGGTAGGGGGTGTTATAATTTACTTTCTTGCTATATTACATGCTTGTAATGCTTATACAACTTGATTACATGCTTGAATAACAAAATCTAGAGATTTTATTATTTATTTTTCTTGTGAAGGATTTAATTTTTCCGGTTGTCTATAGCTTTGTTTAATCATGTGGCATGATAGAATATTACCCCTTGATATGTAGATTGACATATATTAAATCTAGATTATTTGGACAAGTAATGAAGATTTTATTTAATATTTATCTTGAATAAAATATTAAATCATGTGGCCTTATCTATCTTTAAATCAACATGTGATAGCATATTATATTAGGCTTTAGCATACTCTTCAACATAGATTAATTTGAGATTAATCGGAGAAGTTTTGAAATCTAATAATATTTAATTAATTAGATTAATAAAATTGCTCCAAGTGTATTATTCATCCCGTTGGATTTCCGACTTGAAATTCTTGATATGCATGTCATATAGTTTCACATATATTAAATCTAGAATATTTGATTAGATTTTGAAACCTTTCAATTATTATTTTTCTAGTATTAAAGTTTAATACTCTTGGTCGTATGTGATACCCCTCGGATCCGAGACACGGGTTGATCAGGCCCAGGCCCAAACCCGAGAGAATATCAAAAAATTAATATTTTATAATGAACACAGAATACAAAATAAATTAAGAAATAAAATTACAGCTGGAAGGAACTAAAAATAGAATCCGCAAAATATTATAATTATTAAAATCCATCAAACCCAAACTCCAAAACTCCATCAGTTTACAACTTGGGAATCCATCTCTAGTGGACCCCTATTAAACATCCAAACGGAAAATAGAACAACTGTAATAAACGTCCAGAAATAAAACTATAGAGAGAGCCCTACATCGTTGGAAGAGTGAATAGAGACCTCTGCTCAGCGCGAACACGTCTAAGCCTGGAATTGTCGTGTACCTGAAAAAATAGAAGTGGGTCAGGCCCACGCGCAAGTTCTATACTACTACAATCCAAACAGAGGCCCGATACGCATGTACATCCTAAACAATTCAACAATAGCTGATAATCCGTAAATATATATATAGTCACACTAAATGACTCTCACTAGACTATAGGCCGGTCTCAACCTGAATAGAGGTAATATACTAAAATGCACACGAAGTAGGCATATGTACCTATACCTAAACAGGGTACACCTCCAACCATCGTAGCCAGCTACACATCCCGATGCATATACGCTCCCTAGCCATCGGTCCTGAGGCTCAAGCTCATACTGAGGCACCATAACAGTACATATAAAAATCCATCCAAAATCCCTGGTATTGCCGCTCAACAAGTAGTTTCCATGACAATACAAATCCA